AAGTGGTTTTTTGTTGTTATTGTAATAAACAAGTGCTCCGAGAAGTCCTTACGGCTCCACGGAATAACAAGAAAGTTTAGTCTTTATTACTTAACAATATTGCATATATATTAAAGCCGGCTTTAAACCACGGATTTCTAGTTCTGAGGCCTGTATTCTAATCATTATATAACGCTTTTCTAAAAAATTACCAATAGTAACAAATTTTGTAATAGCCTCTCAAAAAGTAAACTTTGTTTTTCCAAGAACAGTGAAAAATTTAAGTTTCGTTTTGAAATGGTCTTTTATGTTTTATTCTATTATAAAAATAAAAGTCAACATAAACTCTCAAACTTTTTACTCTTTCCAAAAATAAAAGATTTAATATTATGTAAAGTATTCGAATGCTACTAAATAGTAGAATTAATGTTCCCCACTAAAAAAAAATCTTTATTTTTATCAAAACTTGGTTTTTGAGATTTCTTTTGATTTATAGTTATTCAACATAGTTGTAAAAGTTTCTGGAGTTTTAACATATCTTGAGTATTTTATGAGATATTCAACTTTATTTAGAACTTATCAGGCAACTTGACCATAGCAACGGCCCCTAGGAACACAAACTTAGGTTTATGATTGCCCTTTCTCTTGGCCTTAGTATTAGTTTTTTTTTACCAAATTTGGTTAGTTACGCATTAGTTTAGTAGACCAGCATGGTTTGACAAAAGTATAGAATAAAACAGTGGATACAAGTTTCTATTTTTGTATGACTCATCAGATAATTTATCTTGTGATAATTTATTGTTGTATTTGAAAAGCTTTACGTAGGAGAGTGCAGCACCAAACTAATTAAAAATTAATTTAGCGCTTCGCTCTCCTACGAAAAAACCGGGACAAGGGTAAACCCATATATTTGACACTGTTTTAGTGCCAAATATATAGGTTGCCCCTTGTCCTCCTGCCCCTATTATTTTATGATTGATTTAAATAGAAAATTTCATACTGATTAAGAATCGTATAAAAACATTGACCTGAAAATTTACGGGAAGAACTCTAAATTGATGTTGATAATAATAAAAACCGGGCTATTTTTAAATTAACTAAGAAAAGAATCTAATCTTATTTGAGTATGAAGAAAATGGCAATTATTAGCGTTTTTAGTGAAATTTTTTAAACTTAAACATCAAATTAGAGTACTTTCCTCAAATTTTCAGGTCAATATTTTTCATACGATTCTTAATCAGCATGGAATTCTCTATCGATATCAATCATAAAATAATATGGGTAGGAAACTGAATCAGTGCCATGTATTTTAATATATAGAATATTAGAATATATAATTAGAAACAAAAAAAAAGAATAAGTTTAAAAAGTAAAAGAGCAATTGTAGCAATCAGTGGAACAAAACACCTGCATTAGAAGACAAAAGTGTTGAACATGTTTCAATTAGTGCCAACAAAGTTTCTTTAACAAAAGTTGATAATAATAGTAATGCAGAAATTTATAACATTATGATAAACTTCTCTATTTTAAAAAAAGTTATTGATAATATTGGCAGTTGTCCAGGATGAAACAGTTGTATTGTTGTTACAGATGACAACGATAAACAAAGTGAATTTTCTCAAAAGGTGAATTTTAAATGTACCAATGTGTTGATTTTGAAGTCTTTTGCAATTATTGTAGTGGATGAAAAAAGTAGAACGACCCAGGTTATACTGAAAGAAAAGCTAATCATATTTGCTTCTTAAATCATACAGCATCGTTAGGGGCAACGGAAAGTGCTGGAGTTGTAAAGATATTTAATTGCTCTGTAGAAAAAAATGATTTAATTTATAAATATTATTTGGAAGATGAAGATTCCTCTGCATTCAATGATGTTCTAACAGTAATTCTTATGGAAAGTTTCAAATCGAACCGGAAAGGTTAGAGTGTGTTGGTCATATCCAGATGCGCATTGGTTCAAGACTACGTAACCGGAGAAAACGCAAACATCATGGTAGTCGGTTAACTGGAAAAGGAAAATTAACAGAATGCGAAATTAATAGAATACAAAACTATTTTGGTATGGCTAAAAGGTATACCAAATGAAAAAGAACATATCTTTACCATTGTACTATTTTTCCGGATCAGTTTTATCGCTACGTATTATGTCCAGTGGGTCCTAATAGCTGGTGTAAATGGAAGAAAGGAAACGCTGCAGGCAACAGAAATTGCACACCAAAAGTTAATTTACCAGTATGGATATATGATATTATTAAGAAAGAGTTTAGAGAATTAAGTGATGACAACCTTTTAAAAAAATGTACTCATGGTCAAACACAGAATTCTAATGAGGAACTCAACATTATTATATGGTCCAGATGCCCAAAAAACTTTTCTATTCACCAAGCTTTGTTTGAGTGAACTCAGCTGTGTTGTATTTTAATGAGGGAACTATAGGTGTTCAGAGAATAATGAATCACCTCAACTTTGAGAATGGTGGAAAATCTGTAATCCTCATTTTGTAGGGATCAAAAACGCATCACCAGTATGAACAAAAAAGACACTTTAGAAAAAAGTAATAGAAGAATGCATCAAATAGCCATTAATAAGGGTTGGCATGATGAAGATCAACATCTGGAAACTTATAAACTTTACACCTCTGGAAGTTTTTAGTATTTTTTTAGTTATAAAATGTTTGTTGTTCTTCAGCATTCGCTTTATTGTGCAATTTGTAATTTTTGAATATAAAAATAACTTTTTAATGGCTAAATCTTTTTGCTTCATATTTTTAGTATATGTTCTACATATAATGATGGAGGACCTGTAGCAAAATTGATGCTAAAAACAAATTATAGACGTTTTTCGATTTGATTTCAACCCTTCAAATTTTGATGCTTTTGCCTTAAAAAAATCAAAAATAACAACTTTTACTTAGAATGTAACAGTGATTTTGGTACAGGCCTTTCTTTTTATGTGCATGAAACGATTTGCCAAATATGAAGCTCTAATTTCTTGTGTTTTCCAAATTATCGTTTTTCAAAAGTTCTTTCAAAATTAACTGCTTTTGCAACCTTTTTGACATATTTTCATAATTTTAGGAATAAGTTGTTGTAAAATGACGTTTTTATTGTTTTTTATTTTAAGTTATGCTCTGATACACTTTTTAATTTGAAACTATGAAATTCGGGAAGTTTTATTTTTTTAGTGGCGAACCACCTTAAGCTGTTTTTGTAACATTTTAAAATTGCTCAAAAACATATAAAAATATAAATGAATAATAAAAATATAAATACAATATAAAAAAATTGCTACTATTATTGTGAAAAGTCAATATGGAAAGTTATGAAAAGCATCTATTAAGAGGGAAAAAAGAAGCCATGACCTTTTTCAGGAGGTAAAAAGTAGTCATGACCTTTCTAAAGCTTCGTAAAGTTCTACTAAATTATTCACAAGATAATTAAGAGTGTTTTCAGTAAGGATGGTAGTTTTCAAAAAACATAAAATTAGAAAACTCAAATAAAATTAGAAAACTCAAATTATAACTTATTAAAATGTCATCAAACTAAGTCGAAATTCAATAAAAAATTTTAAACTAAATTAGTAGTTGCAAAAAAGTGTACTTAATCTTTTTTTAGTAGCCTGGCTTGTTTTGGCCTGATTTTGTTTTTGCGCTACTACGCTATAAATATTTTGGAATGGTTTATACTAAGTTAATTTTATATCAAAAAAGCTCAATCTACTAAATTGTCAACTGTTACAATCCATCGAAAAATATTGGGGTATTGGAAAATGATATTTGCGTAAATGAGGCAAGACTTTTAATTCAATACAAGATTTGCTAAATGGTTGTGCAGGTACCGTCACCATCACCAAAAATGTTAAAACTAAAAGTATTTTTATACTCTGTAATTTATCTACTTTAGATACAATTTGTTAAAAATAAATAAATTAATATTAATTTATAAAAATTATTTATTAACATTAATTTATTATAAATTAATTTATTATAAATTGATTTTATAAAGTAAAATAAAACTTATGCTACATTATAACCACAATTCGTCGCTCAAACTCCACTAATTTTAAATTATAGTTTTATTTAAAGAATAGGGGAGAGTGGTACTGAATGGACCACAAAATTCAACTTTTTTGTAAATTTTTCCCATATTGTCAACAACTATGGCGGATATATTAATTCAGAAGTCAAAATTAATACCTTAACTAACAATCTTGAAAAGTTGTAAACCATTGCGCAAACAGAACATAGGCAAAATGTGCGATAAATGTGACCCGTACCAAATTATTTAGTGGTCCATTCAGTACTGTTCATTGTACTGAATGGACCAACCCTTGTACTGAATGGACCACAAAAAAAGTTTTTTTTTTTTTATAAAAAAGATCAATATCTCTATCGCTAATAACTATAGCCGATATATTAATTCGGGAGATAAGATTAATATCTTAACTAACTATTCTAGTATATTGTATATTATAATAAAAGTTGTAAACAATTGCGCATAACAAGTTACATTATGCAAAGCAATTAGGGTGATAAATGGAGTTTAAAAACAAGAAAGAAGTATGTTGAGACATTGATATTTCCGAATTAATTAATACAACTTTAGACCGATCTCTCAATCAGATAATCAAATTACAATAATCACAAACATATTGGCTGGCATTATCTGCACTTGTGCAAGCTTTATGTGCCCAGCTCGCACACTGTCTGCAACGGTACCATACTTCGTTGTCACGACCCATTTCTTCACATATAGCACACAAATCGTAATTTGATGTAATACCTCCACAAAAATTTAAACTATCTTTGACACCATTATCATTTCTTTCAACAAGAATATCATCAGCCTCATCATTATTATATGTCATTAATGGAAACTTTAGAGTTTTTGAGTTGCTTGATTTCTTTCTTGATTTCCTTTGACGTTTATTTTTAGCATCTTTTTGTTTTTCAGAAAAATTTTGTTTTTTTAAATTTTGCTGAAGTTGTTGATTTCGAAGAACCTCTTTAATTGGAGTATCAGTTAGAATCGAAGAGGAGAGCTTTTTGCGAGCACCTTTGGTTTTTTTAAACGAGCTTTTGCAGAAGGATAAGGGCGTATACTTTCCACATTCAGGGTATTGCTAACATTTTTGTTGACTTTAACATTTCTATTTATTTCTTCTGAAACTGGATAGATGTTGAGTGCTTCAGGATTAGGTCTAATAACTTCTACTGAAACTGGATTGATATTGAGTGCTTCAGGATTAGGTCTATTAATTTCAACTGAAACTGGGTTGATGTTAAGTGCTTCAGTATTAGGTCTAATAATTTCTAATGACACTGGATTGATGTTGAGTGTTTCAGGATTGGGTCTATTTGTAACCTGAGATAAAAAAAAATCCTCATCCTTCCACCGATAAGGTTGAAAAGGACTTATTCCAGATACTGAAAAACCACTAATGATGTTAACTGGCATTGATACTTTTGCCCAAGCCTTTCCAGAAATTTCTGCAATGTCATAGATTGAAACAGTTTTTCCTGGATGTGATACCAACCAGCTATCAATTTATAAAACTTATGCTACATTATAACCACAATTCGTCGCTCAAACTCCACTAATTTTAAATTATAGATTATAATGACGTTTGAAAGGTCCATACACTGTTATATCTAACGGTTGTAGTTTGTGTGATGTATGGGGTGGGATTGTTAAAACAATTACACCATTATCTGATGCTAAGTCAATGAAGTTAATTGACATATGAGACTCATGATTATCTAGTATCAACAGCACAGGGTTTGTCTTAGATGGTCGAACACTTTTTATAAAATGATTAAACCACTCCATAAAGGTTGATTCCACCATCCACCCAGATTTGTTGGCAGTGCCAACAGAACCAGGAATTGAATTTCGCAGAAAAAAATCTTTAAAATGAACACGTGGAAATATGTAGAATGGTGTTATTGAGGATCCACTTGCATTTACTGCATTGCACATTGTTACCAAGATACCTCGTTCTGCACTTGTAACAGAAGCAACTTGCCTCTCTCCTCTCTTGGCTAAAACATGCTCTGGCACTTGTACAGTAGTAACACCAGTCTCATCAACATTCCATATATCATTTGGTGAAAACTTGTATTTAATCAAAAGACTTTGCAGATTATTATAAAATAGATTTACATTATACTTGTTGAATGCTGACATTCGACCAATTGATGTTGCCTCTGGTTTTCTTATAACAAGTTCTGGATGACAACTTAAAAAAGCTCTAAACCAATCTACACCTGCATGTTTATTTGTTTCCCAAGGTTTAGCAGAACCTCGACGAGAATATCAACACTTCTTCTCAAGTTTGAGAGCATATTCAAATGTTAGTGCTCTTAGCTTAATAGGACTTAACCCATATCCCATTTTTAGCAGAAACTAAACAATATTGAACCAGCTCTTGTTCTTCTGTTACTGAAAAAATTTTCATAGAACTGTTACTATATGGAACACATTGCAATTTATTCAATCCATTTTGAGATAGTCGAGCTTCTTTTATTCGCCTCTTAAGAGTTGAACGTTTGACTCCAAATATCTCAACAGCTTTTCTTTCAGATAGAGTTTTATTTAAAACATTTTCAACTGCTTGGATCATATTATTGGGATCCCAATCACCTTTTAGTGCTGTTGCTTTTCGATGTCTCATAACACTTCTGAAATAAATAAAACTTGTTTATAACCATATTATTAAAAAAAATTATCGATGTTATTATATATATATATATATATATATATATATATATATATATATATATATATATATATATATATATATATATATATATATATATATATATATATATATATATATAATTATCTAAACACACACACACGCACATAACATGTATAAAAAACTAAATTATATAAAAGCTTGAATGTAGAATAATTTTTTTATTATGATCAACAAGCTTTAGTAATTTAAATATAACAATTAATTTACGAAATTTTATTCTTGGTTTTATTAGATATTACTTGATTTTTTGTATTGTAAAAATTACTGACCATGGTAATTGTCATTGTTTTTAAAAACGTATAAATAACATTTCAGATATATTATATAATATCTAGCATATAGCTTATCTAGCATATTATATGCCATATAACATATCTAGCATATAACTTTTATTATATATAGTATATATAACAAATGTTATATGCTAGATGTTATTAAAAGTAATACCACCTTATTTAAATATCGTCATAATATTATGACATTCAGTTATTGAAATAATGAAACAAACTACAAATTAATAATTATTAACCTAATATGTAAGCTATTAGTCTGCTTAACTTAACATTATATTATCTGCTTACCTTAATATTATATTGAATAATGAATAATTGAACTTGCGCCGTTAAGTCTTCGTTAACTAGATATTTTGGTTTATTTCCTAACTCACATCTCCTTAGTTCATTTAGATGAAAAAACTTTTGTATTTTGTTTTAGTAAGTAAAATAATGAAGCGCGATAAATAACTTCGCAGAAAAATGAACCGATCCATTCAGTACAATCAATGGTGGTTCATCCAGTACACTAATCAAAATGTACATGTTACCCATATAATCACAGCAATCAGTAAATCATATAACATTCATTCTAATGTTATACAAAGTAAAAAATATGTATCTATAATATTATTATTAACTATAGTTAACTTTACTTTAAAAATCTAGTGTAAATTGAAACAAATTGAAAAGATAAAAATTTACTTTTAGCTCGAAAAAAACAAAAAATGCAAATATTAATGCATTATTACGAATAACGTTAAACCAAAAATATCAAAGAAACTTTGAGTATACAAAAACTATATGCAATTAAAAAAAATCAATTAACAGCTTGTTAAGTTTTTATTTTTCTAATGGTCCATTCAGTACAAGGTCCATTCAGTACCACTCTCCCCTACGTACCTATTTTTTGGATTTTTTTTAAATATAAATATTAAAAGGCTTCTTGGCAACTAACTTAATTGCTCGGATCACTTATCTTTTATTATTTATGGCTTCTTTGTCACATTGTATGTAAACGTCAACTGAATCCAAGTAACAATATTTAGCTATATTATGCGTGTTGTTTTTCAGTTTAGCAAACTTGGTAGTGATGTTCATCGTTACTCCGTTAGACAGTATATTGTTAAAGCGTGCATATGCTATGTATTTGTAAAAATATATGGAGTAAAAACTTCAACATTAATGTGTCTGATTTTATATCCGAAATTTTATTATATTTTTGAATTGAAGAACCTTTTCTCATGTAAGATAGTACTAAACAAATATTTTCAAAATATGGAAACCCTTGAAATGGACTTATAGCATGGAACCCCTTGGAACCAACATTAAAAAAAGAATAAAAATAAAATTTACAAAAAAATACAAACATAAAAATATATTTGCAAAAACATTAATTAAACATATAGGCGAATGCTGCAATAGTAATTTCCTGAAGTTAAGAAGTTAGTTGAAGAGTTAAAAGAAGTTAAAGAAAATGTTTTAAAAATGATATGGTTTACGTTTGGCATAAAATTTACCTTAAACAACTAGCAACAAAATATATAATACGTCATTGATTCAACAGAGGTGTTGGTATGACTGTAAAAAAAGTGGTATTAGCAATCCATAAATTGCAACCTTAACTTTATTTTTGGGTTTGACATTATATATATGGTGAATATCTATGGTAAGAGCCAAAGAACTGTTTCTATAATAAATTAGAAAATTTCTGCCAAATCTACGACGTAAACGAAACTTAAAAAAGTACAGTTAATAAACTAATCATAGCTTTAGCTGCTGTTGTTCTTTTGCTGTTACTTTTTACTACTTTGCTAATAAAATAACTTTTTTGCAAACCCTAGAACCTTGAACCCACATTAATAAGTTACTACGCATTAATGCAGGTAAAAATGCTGAACAGTATCAAAAATGAAAAACAAACATCAAAAAATGTGTGCTTGATTAACGTTTTGGATTTCTAGTTTTACATTTTGAGTAATCACTATCTTTTTTAAAATCATTCAGTATTTTTTTAACGTGCTGAATATACCAAAAAGTTTGTTGATTCATTTTAGCGCTGATATTTTTGGATGCTATTACATAACTGATTTATAAATGAATAGTATTTTAATTTCAAATTTTTAATTCAATTTAAAATTATTTACATATTAGCGTTTGTATATATTAGCTATATTATTTACATATTAACATTTATTAAATTATTTTAAAAAAAAGGCTACAAATAATCTCACGTAAAAGAAAAAAATTAATCAACCTTCATATTGAATATCATTTTTTGGATTCATTAAAATTTGTTTCTCATTTAAAAATTTGCAACTTTTTTTATAATTTAAACCAAAATTTCTATATTTAAGTATTAAGAAACCTATTTTTTTTTTTTATAAATAAATACAAAAAGAATTATCAATAAATTTCTGTATCGAAATGGGCTTTAATGCGTGCGCTTACGAGTTGCGAAGGTTGCGTTTTTTTCGAATCCAACGAACGTATTTTTGATATCAATGACTCGGATTCAGCTAAATAAAAAGTTAAAAATCACGAAAACCAAAAAATAATTAACTTTCAAACTTAAAAAACTAATCCAAATTTGAAAATTAGAAAGAATATAAATAAACATTTTTCCACAAACATTTTGGTTGAAGATGTTCATAAGTCTTGATTGCTTTTCGTAAATCTGCAATCGCGCGTTTTTGTTGTTGGATAACTTGGTCGTGATTTTCACTCAGACATCGTTCAGCAATATTTATCTTTTGCGTACTTATACCTTCTGTTACCTAAATAAAAAATTTCACAAAATGCTCAATTATTAAGTCTCTAGTCTAACACATATAAGGTGACACTGAAAAAAGAAAATTTGGTCTACAAAACAAAGATTAAAAATAACTTATTTTTCATTAACTTCTTTTATTAGAACAAAGCATACACTAAGCATACACTATAGAATAAACTATACACTTTCATTTTCATTGTCTTGTTTTAACTAATGTTTTTAATGCTTTAATGTGATTAGCCACAAAGTGTTTATTTATTATCGTGACACAAGACCAAGTTAAAAATTAAAGTAAGTCAATTTATACAATTTTAGAGTTCTGGAGACTGTCATTTTTTACATATGAAGCTTATATTTTACAGGATGAAGCATTTGAAGCCTGTATGCGAAACAGTTCCAGTTTCTATACAATAAGAACTATAGCTTCAAAATTAAAAGAGTCTAGAACTTTAAAATCCTGAATTTAGACTATTCTTTTACGAACCTCTGAAAAACTTAATAAAACTCCTATCACCTAATCAAAATATTATATAAAATAAATTTAAAAAAATTTATAATAAACTAATGAATTTAAAATGAAAATAAACAAAGATAAAAAAATTCAAAATCATTATTACATTGAATAACCTATTTGACAATTAATTTATCATATTTTTTTCTAGTAGATGTATGTGCAAGCAACCCGTTCGTACCTAAGCTCAACCATATAACACTCAAATACACCTGCTAAATAAAAACAATAATCTAAAATAAATACAAAAAGTGTAACACTAACTAAAGAAACAGGTGGCTTATTTATTTCCCGCATGTGTTCGGCTTGAAGTGCAAGAATTTTGCTTTGCTTAACGATTTGTGTATCTTGTTCAATCAACTTTTTTTTTTGTAATTTAGCTACTGTTGACAGTTCTAAAAGCTGTTTTCGATGTTCATCGAGTTGTTTGTTTTGACTTAGGATTTCATTCTGAAGATCTTCAATGGTATGTTTTTGCTCTTCAGATAATTCACCTTAAGAAAATGAAAAAAATAATTAAATATAATGGTAAACACAAAGTATAAAAAATTAAAAACAAAAAAAAATAAGTCATCATATAAATTATTGAATAAATAAATGGATGTTTTTAATTCAACCTTTCATGTGTAAAATTCGTGCAGAAACACCATTTAAATCGTTGTTTAATGTTTTGGCCAGTTCTTTGTGTTCTTGGCATTCTTTTTCTGATTTCAACAATCTTTGCCTAAAGTGATTGCTAATTATCATTTTTATTAAAAACAACAAAAATAAAAAAAATAAAAAAAAACCCGCAAATTTTAAATGCAATCGTTTCTCTTTTAGATAAAGTTTGACTGGTGTTTATTACTATTTATTAATATTTAGAATATAATTTAGCTGAATTAATCCTAGCTTATTATTTAGCTTAGTGTAAATCAATCTTATCTTGTCATTTAGATTATTTAAATCTACCTCAGCTCATTATTTTGATTGGTTAAATCTAAAATCTCTTGTTGATAAATGACACTGTTTCTGCTGTCTTGTTTGTGTTTCTTTTCTAAAATAAAATCCAAGAAAGAAATAGCATATCATATTAAAAGGTTAAGAGGTAAAAAAAAATATTCAAAGGAACTTCATCAAACACAATATTACACTTTTGATTAAAATTTAATTTTAGCATGCAAAACAAAGTTAATCAAAGCAAAACAATTATTTAATTTTAAAAATTTAATGTAAAACCTTTTTTTGAATGCTTCATAACAGCTAACTCTAAATCATTCTTCTCTTTGCTTAAAGCATCGATTTTGTCTTCTAACTGCTGGATCCTCATCACATATTCTTTTATCTCTGACTAGACATAATTTTTACTAATGTTATTTAATGTCATATTTCTTTCAAATTTTTATTTTTGGTAGATAAAAAATTATCTATTAAAGATAAAAATTTGAAGGAAATTTTTATCTTTGATAAATCACAACAGATATTTCATTTTTATCTTTTATTGTGAGTTAAAACTTTGAAATATCTGTTGCGAATCGCTACCGATCGCAACTTGCGATCGGTAGTAGTAGAACGATTGCTTCCTAAGTGAGAAGTTCCAAGTTCTATCTCTACCAAATCCCTGAAGGTACTGTTCTCAACTTGCATCAACCTTGTTCATCAAGGTTGATGTTTCAGAGTTAAATAATTAACAGAAGGTTGTAACTAGAGAATTTTTAATTATTATTTTTAAAAAAAGTAGCCTCCATGACTGCAATCATTGAGAATACTTTTATTATTATTATTTTTATTATTATTATTACTTAAATAATCACAATTTTTTAATTAAAAATTTTAAAATAAAATTTTAAAATAATTTTCATATTTAAAATTCAAAATTAAAATTTTTCAAAAATTTTTCATTTATTAAAAATAAGTAAAGCAGACAAATAAGTCAAATTAAGAAAAAAAAATTACATTCAATTTCACTAATTCACTTTCATATTTGTTATAATACTTTTTCTTCAAGATTTCTTTTAGATTGCTCAGCGATGCTTCAGTATCCTTCAAAGACTGCTTTAGAGATTCCTGCATAACATAATGTAAAATATTTAATTTACACATATATATACATCTATGTGAATATATATATATATATATATATATATATATATATATATATATATATATATATATATATATATATATATATATATATATATATATACAAGTATTTTAGGTGTCCCTAAATCATTAGGGTCTGGGAATAAATTGTCTTGATGTTGTAGTGGCCCAGCTTGTGTATACATATATATATATATATATATACATGTATTTGTGTAATTTGTGTACATTTAAATCATATAAAACCATTATAGATGTACATGTATGTAAATCTATAAAGATTTTATTTCAACAAAAAAAAAATTGTTTTTTTTTTCATTCTAAAATTCTAAAATAGTGTCAGAATTAAATCGTGCATTTCCAAAATTAAAGTGTTTGTAACTTATTCATGAAGCCCCTGCCTATGCCTTATTTTATTTGTCAAACTTAATGCTTTAAAAGTTCAACCTTATTTTGATAATTAAAAAATCCAAAATGAATTGATATAATCTGAGCCATAGTTTTGCAAATTAAATAATTTATAACTATCGTATTACATGAATTTACATTTTAATGTAATTAATAAATTACAAGAATGATAAATCTATCTTCAATAATATCATAGAACATGAACTAAAAAAATTATAAAAATATTCTTCACCTCATTGCTTTTTGACTGATTAAGCTCGTTTTGAAGAACAGCAAACTCTTCTTGAGCAAATCTGTGCTTTTCTTTGAGTCGATTTATTTTCTAAATAAAAAAAACATTTAGAACTGCAATAAAGCTATAAAAACATCAAAGGTGTTTGTGGTTTTATCGAAACACAAGGTTGTTGTGGTTTTATAGGAACAGCGAGGGTGAACCCTAAGCATATCTTGGTCAACAATATATAGGAATTTTAATGATAATTATGAGACATACTTTTGCTACCAATGCCATATCTTCATTTCTTTTTTCATATGAATCTCGTTGAGTTTTTAAAGCTTCTGTGACATGCTCAGCTTCTTGTTGTTTTAATCGTCGACGCTCATTTTCAAATTTTCTTTCTTCACTTTCTTTTAAATCTTTCAATGCTTTTTCAGTATCTTTCTTGTATTTTTCACTCATTTTTTTTTTAATATTAACATATAAATCAGAAGTATCATTCAATCTATAAACGAAATTATACACACAATAAATCTAAAATCAATAGATTACAATTTCAACTCTTAAAAAAGATTCAAATTTTAAATAAAATCTTTAACTTAAATCTCATTTTATTAAAAGAATTTTGTAATGCAAATAATGCTAAATTGTCTTTTTGCATGTATACTGTGCCGAATAAACAAGGCTTCAAGCTGACTGGATTAGAGTCATAATAAAAAAAGATTAAGAGATTTATTTTTAAAACAAAAAAGTATATATAATATGTATATACTATATATACTTTTGTATATAAAATATATACATTTTGTTGCTAAATTTTGAAAAATCAATAAATGACATGGAGGAGTAGTTTAGATATAGACCGATTTGCCATGTTTTCAACATTAAATATAATTTATAATTTTGTTAAATGTAATGTTTGTTAAATTATAATTTTGTTAAATGAAAAAAATCTGTTGTTTGAACTAGACTAATAACTAGAATGATGTGAACTATAACTAAACTATATGTAAACTAGACTAAAGAAAAAATAACTAGATTAGATGTAAACTAAAATGTTTGAACTAGACTCATAAAAACTAGACTATATATAAGCCCACAGAGAAATATATAAAACTTAGAAAAAAAATAAATCTTTCAAAGAGGATAAAAGTAATACAGTTAAAGAAAAATAAACAGATGCTTAGAAAAAACAAAGATAAAACTAAGGAGAAAACCATATTCAAATTAGTTTAAATGAAGAAATCCAACCCACTAAATATTCCTAAGCAAGACGAAATAAGTAGCAAACAAGACCAATTAGAACTTTTCAATCTTTTTTGAATGTTTGGCTCAAAAGGTTGATAAAGGAAATGGCTTCAAAAGAGCAGGTTTCAGTTATTCTTTTTTTTTTTCATTCTTTAAATTGAGCGTTAAGGTTATCATGCTAAAATAGAAATAGCTCAGTACTCAATGACCTTAGTTGACTCAATGACCTCAGTTGATTAGAATTAAAAACTGTGACAGTAATTTCTAAATATAAAATATTTATTTACTGTTGACTATATCACAAAGATGTATTATGACTAAAAAATTTTTTTTTCATCACAGTAATTTATAAACACTTTTTTCTTCTTCTCTTTCTAAAAAAAAAGTATTAGTTTTCAGGTGGGCATCAAAAATTAGTCTGTAAAATGTATTAGCATTGTACAGACCTAAATCCTATTAAATTCTAAAGTATGCTGTATGTAATTATTTTATCAAAAATACCTTTCTTCAAGCTCGATTATTTTATTTCTCTGATCATTTATTTTGTGTTTAAGATTCGTTATATAAACAGAAGGATCCACACTTAACTTTTCTTCACCAATAATCTCTAAAGAGTGTTCAATATCTCGCTCCCATGCATACTCTGAAGCAAGTAATGAAACAAAATGATCCTAAAAAAAATTTCAAAAGAAAAATACAAAAAAAGTACTAAAAAGGTAAGTAAAATTAAAAAAAGCAACATTAAAAATCAAACCTTGATCCATTTCAACTGGTCAGGGACATCAATACCTTTAAGCCAATCATGTTCTTTAAGTAGATTTTTACAAAACCTTCCATTTTCACCGAGCCTACGTTCAATATGAGACAACGATTCTTTCAATACCTCAACTTGTTCATAACTAGCATAACATTTTTCTAAATTCACCTTAAAATATATGAATAATACAATATTTATAAAATAAAAATATTATTGTAATAACCAAGTTTAAATAATAATAAACTTTTACTATTAAACAAATTAATATTAACAAAGCCTAGATTTACAACTTTGAGATAAAAATAAAATGAGTATAAAATTTATGTTTCCAATAAACATTTTCAAAAAAAATTCTATATATTAACAGTTCATTGTATACTTAAGTACTTCAGTAGAAGTTAATAAAGCTACTTACTAAAATAAAACATAAATAAAAACCTTTTCTTGTGAGATTTGTTTCAACTGGGTTTTAAAATGATCCCGATCATGTTGAATATCACTTATAAAATTACAGATGCTATCTACATCGGAAATTGAGTAATACTTTTTTCCATCCGCAACAGCCAACTTGCTAACTTTTTGAAAAACATCATCTTTCTATAAAAAAACAACAACAACTGCCTAATCATAAAGACAAGATTAAAATAGTACATACATGCTATCGATGCTATCTAAAACATTGTATGTTCAAATTTGGGCTATATTGAGTTATGAATGTTGAAATGTTGATCTTGATGAACCAAGATAAATACAAATATTATACACATAAAAATTGAAGCAATACAATAAAAAACAATTATAATATGTTTTTAAATATTTGAACTTGTATAGAAGTTTAAACTTTTAAAATCATTTTTCTCACAACTGTCTAAAATGGACATACAATGTTTTAGAATTACCCCATCAATATTAGGGTTTGAGCTTGAGCTGATCTTATCTAGATATGAAGAACTTTAGCCATGGCTTAAAAAAATTTTGTTTTTGTTATTTTTGCTTGTTCTTCTTCTTCAGAAAACTGCTTTGATTTGATATTTATAAACGTTAAGTGAGTAAAATATATTATAAATTGTGCAAATATTAGAACTAAGTCTCTAAAAAAAGTGTAAAAGATTAGAGTGATCTTTTTAAATTTTTCATAGAACATATAATTACAATGGAGATCTAAATACACAGTAGTAAATTAATTCATAAAAAGGTTCAACTAACAAACCATATTAATTTTTTCTAAATGTTGTATATTATCATTTGCTTCTGATAAACTTTGTTGACAACTTTTCAATGTTGAATCTTTGTCTTTTAAAGCACGGTTAAGCAAGCTAACTTTCTAAATAAAATTGAAATAGAAATAAAGCATGGTTAAGTAAGCTAACTTTCTAAATAAAATAAAATTTTCAAATTTCTTTCTTGATAATATCTTAATAAGGTTTAGAAATTTGATTGAATCCACACAAATTAATAACAAACTTTTTTAAAAACCTTTTTGAAAAATAAGAATATTGAACTTTTTAAAAGAATTAATATTAACTTTTTTTTACATTGAAATTATTTTTATAGTTAAACATTTTATACCTAAAAACTTACTGTGTATTTTAGAACAAAAAAAAAACTTACAGTGTATTTTACAACCATGCAGTATACAGTTATATAATTCATATTAAATTACAAACAAAATTATTATTTCTTGATAACTGATGAAAAACAATAAAATGATAAATATGAAAAACAATAAAATGATAAGTATGAAAACAATAAAATGATACAGTTAAAAACAATTTAAAGATAGTAATCATCAATTCTAAGTTATAATAACCAACCCTCCATTCAATTAGTCAACTCAAACTCATCAGTAATACCCATCATTATTTTTCAGTTCTCTCAATCATCTGAAACTTATTAGTAATATCCAAAATTATTCTTCTATTCTCTCAATTATCTCAAAACCCTTCAGCAATATTCTTCATTATTCTTCAGTTTCCTAAATTATCTTAAACACAACAGTAATATCCACCATAATTCTACAATTTCCTCAATCATCTCAAAGCCAGCAGTGAGAGCAATCATCGATCCGAGAATAGCTATTTTGTAAGAACAAATTTAGAAAAATAAAATAATCCTTGTTTAAGAAATTTACATGTTTAAGTGTTGCTACTTCTTCTTCTTTTTTTTTTACTTCATTCTCCATTTCTTTTAACTTGCCTTGTTTATTTATCTAAAAAAAATCTTTTAAATCAGAAATTTTTTACAAACAATTTGTGTAACAAATATAAAAACAAGTTAAAATTGTTATATTTTTTTTACACATTACTTATTAAAATTTGTAAACAACTTTATGAACTAAAAAATTAAAACTAAATGCTTTTTAGTTTTAAACTTTTTTTTTTGACAGAAAAAACCATGTGCGGTAGAAAAACCATATGCAGTGGAAAAACAAAAACTAATGAACAGCGCATTGAACAAAAAATTTCGTGTGCAGTGAGAAACTTAGTGAGATATGAAAACTGATTTACTATATCAGGGGCTATACTAGACCATTTTTGACAGCGTCAACCATATTTGGGCGTCGCCTAAATTAAAATTTGATGACCTTTTTTTTTTTAATGGTTTATACAATAAATATTGTTTTTTTGTGAAAAAACACCTATTTTCCACCAAAATTCTCCATGACAGGAGGGGTACCGCCGCCCAAATTTTTTTCTTAGAATAGACCCTGTATATATATAAATAGTGTGTATAAATGATATTATCTAATTAAATTAAAAAAAAAAAAAAATTTTTATGATCTTTTTTTATTAATTCTTTTTTTATTATTGATCTGGCTGTATTTGTTAGATGTTTCAATGAGATAAAATTAATGTATGTTTGATGTTTCAATTAAATAAAATCTGTTTGACTGATGCTTTGATTACATATAATATATGTTTGCTTTCAGTTTCAATTATATGGAATATGTTTGCTTTATTTCATATAATATTTTCATTAAGAGAGAATTTGATTTTTAATAAATAGCCACTGTATGGAGTCAACTTCCTGCGTCTATTGTGCTATCTAAACCAGTCAAAACATTCAAAAAACAATTAGTCGAATATATCCACTTTTCTGTTACCTTGATTGGTGGCTGCCTCCCAAAAAATATATTTTTAAATTCAAAAAGAAATGTCAAATTTTAATAGCAAATTATATACTCTGATAACAAATTTTCAATAACTTCATTTAATAAACTTTGAAACTATTTGTTATAAAAAACAAAATTTGAAAATTGTAAATTTTTTTGGCAGCAGAAAGGAAAAATTTAGTATTGAGGCAGAAGCCACTGTAGGCAAGAGGGTGCTAATGGCTTCAATCTGTAAAAAAATTTGAGAATTTATCAGAATGTTACTTTGTTGCCATGGCGCATTATCAACTCTATCTTTAGATTTGTTCAAGTTTTATTTTTTATTTATCTATGTTAACAAGAGAATTTTACAGAACCTATAGTTTCAATTTTTTAATGTTCGCTGATACAATATAAATAACAAATTTAAATTTTTTAATAATATTTTCATCATGATGTTAATTTATACGATGGTGTTTTCACTATTAAAAAAAAAAAGCATTTTGGAGACTTATACAAAATAAACAAATTTTTATACAACTGCTCTTTTGAAAAAGCTTTTATTATTTTTTACTTGTACTATCATTATTTGTTGATAAATTTAAAAATTTTTGATTGGGTAGCCAATTAATAAAATAACTGTTTTAAAGTTGTAACAGTTCTGCTCATTTATTTACATAATTACATATATTACAAACCTTTGAAGACAGCGATGCAATTTCTTGTTCTTTGTTTTTCAATTCTTTTAGGTATTTTTCAGCTTTTCTTTCAATTTTTTGAATCACCAAATCTTTTGAAGCAACATCTTTTTTTAACAAACTTACATCATCACTTAACTGACGTTTTTCTTGAAAGCTGGAGTGTAGGTCATTCTCAAGCTCTAAAGTTCGGTCTTCAAGGTAACTTATTTTGTTTTTTAGCTCGTCATATAGAAAACTTGATCTTTCACCATAGACAGGCTCCTGTAAAAATCAAAAATATGCAATATCTAATATATATATATATACATTTAATTAACACTAATAAAAACAATTTTAATAGTCTTAATAGCATTGATGTTCTTAAACTTATTTTTATGAAACAATGTTAAAATACTTTGTAATATGAATTGCTTTGTCTTTTCTTGTAAGTATCAAATTGTGCTGTCAACAACTGCTGCATTTTTTAAAACACATAACTTTATATTATAAAAATTTTTTTATGGCTTACAGCTGATTTTTTTTTCTTCTTGAAATTATTTTAAATTAATTTATATTTTAATTTGTTTTATTGGTTGACCTAAACCTCTCTATACATAAATGTATATTTATATCGTCGGTATACAAGGAAAATACACTTAGTCCAAAAACATCATTTTGAGATAATGAACAAATAAGTTTTTGCGTAATAGTTAAAATAATAAGTTTTTGTATAATAGTTGAAATAAAAAATCTTGATAATTCATTAAGAATTGATTTATTAAAATTGTGTAGTATATCAAACGATACAGAATTTAAAATACTTAATAGTGGTATAAATAACTCCATACTGCCAAAATTGGACTTTTGGGAGTATGGAGTTGAAAAAGTGCATTTCCCTTGTATACCGACAATATAAAAACATGATCATTATTATCATCATATATATCATCATTATCATGATATATATATATATATATATATATATATATATATATATATATATATATATATATATATATATATATATATATATATATATATATATATATATATATATATATATATATATATATGTACGTATAAGGGCCTTGCGAATCGGCATTTTTCGTTTCGAATCGAATCTTGAATTGAAGCAGGTTTTGATTTGCGAATCGAATCGAATCACAAATCGAATCACTAGTTAAAAGAAGTTTAAGTTTTTTATCTTTATTTTTATGTATAATATACAAAATATTATAAAATTTAAATGTTATTTGAACAAACTCTTTTTGTTACTTCTAGCCCAAATTAAATGTTCTACATTTTGCTTGGAAAGACTATTGCATTTACTGCTGATCACTCCTTCTCCCACAGAGTTAACTCTTTCAGACGAACAATTTGTAGCAAGAACAGCAAGAAAATCAGTTGCAACTTTGGATAATAAAGGGAAAATGTTACGTTTGTTTTTCTAGTAGAGAATAGAACAATCTGAACATCCTAACGTTTCCTCTTGGATGTATGCAGTAGTTTCAAAATTTAATTGCTGATCTAAAGTTCTTTTCTCTGGTAGAGTACGATTTTTAGTAATATGTTCAAACATTTTATCAAAAACTCCATTTGCTTCAGATGACAAATTTGCAACTTTGAGTTGAACTTCAGCAGGAATCATAGTAACACTTAAATCGTGTTTTTTTTCAGATGTCATTAGATAAGATTTTACGATTTGTATCTCTTCCAAAGTAAACATTTCTGATTTAAATCGAGGGTCTAAGAAAGTAGCAGTAAGAAAAAATGTCTTCACTTAAATCAAACCTCATTCCCAACTGCATAGTAAGATCGTCAACAAATTTACCTTTCCCTCTTTTATCCATTAAGTGAAGATAACTTTTCGAAGTTGTAATGCACGGATAAACTTTTTTCCACATATAGTAGTGGCTTTAGATACAGCATTTAAAATAGGAGTGACTGTTGTTAATAATTGTACTTGTGTTCAGTTAGACAAGTGGGTAGCACTTTCACACAGTTTATTTTTTGTAAACACCCAACTTGGAGGCTTTGACTCAGGTTTTTCTTGAGAAATCTGATCCTTTTTGAGAGCTGCCTGTCCGACTGATGATGAGTTAAAAAATCCTACTATTTTATGAGCCTTGTTAATTAATGTAACAAGAATTGGTTGGTTGTGTATAGCTGATTTCACACAAAGTGGGAGTTTATGAGCACAACAGCCAACCAATCCCAAGACGTTTAAGTATGCATGGTATACTAGGACTAGTATCGGTTGCTCGGAAAATATTATCTGAAGTTAAGTCAAATTTTGACAGCAGGTTTCTTGAAATTTTTTCAGTGGAAGTAGCTTTGTGACAAGCATTTATTACTTCCAGATTTACAACTGATAAACAGCATGATTCTAAGACCCAAGAGAATGAAATAAAGTGACAAGTAGAAACAAGAAAGTTATCGTCATTGTTGGCTTTAAAGTGATCAAAAGTGATGTTAGGTTTAGAGATAAATTGGCTTTTTACACTTTGTTGAAAGTTTATATATAAATTATCGGCCATACCACCTAAATTTTGAGATAAAGTAGTCGGGTGTGGTGAATGATATTGCCCTTGAGTAAGCACCGAGCACAGATTAATAAAGCCAGATTTAATAGTTGTCTCAAATGATTTTCCATCTTCAATTAATATCTAAGCACTGCACGATCGTAGCTTTTTTAATAATTGCATCTATTGGAGGTTGAATAAAATATGAATTTAACGAGGAACTTGATAATTGCTTAATTGTGTTATTAGAATTTTTTTTTCTTTTAGTAGCAGATTACAGCTTGATGAGAAAATAGCTTTATGTAGCACAAGCAAAAAGTATCGAATTTAAAATTACTTTAGTGAAAGCGAAGTTAAACAATAAGGATGCAAAAAAAAAAGCTAACTTTTGCGTTACTAATTTACGTTCCGCTCTGTTTAAATCCCTAATCAACAATTAATTTTAATGAAAAGCACATTTACGTTCCAAAATTACTCTACCGCTGAATTTTCTGATAACATAAATATTGATATTTTAAAAACTTTTTAACACTGTTCGAATGAAAACATAAAGTAATTTAAATAAAAAAATGATTTAAAAAACTTGAATCGTTTTTATCGAATCGAATCTGGAATTAAAGCGACATTTGATTCATGAATCAAATCGAAGCGATTCGTAGGGCCCTAATATATATATTTATATAGGGCTCAAATTAGGTGTATTGCGATCACAAATTGTAATTGCTTTTCACATTTTTACGATAAGTTTTTTCTTAGCAAAAATATTTTTGTGATTTGTTTATTTTTTTTGTTAATTTTTTTTTCTTTTTTAACTTAGCATTTTTAGGCATTCTTAAAAATAATGTTTCTGTCTAAGTTTTTTATTAGTGGTCATAAAGTACGTCACGCGAAATTTATCTTTTGAATAGAAGTATGATCTTTGCTCTCTTGTACGGAGATTTTATTCAACATAAAATGCTTTTGAATTTAAATTACTTTAAATGCGTGAAAGCCAATATTATTTTAGAGTTATATTTAGTTTGTTTTACTGAGTGGAGTACGTCACAGTAAATTTACCTTTAAACTAAACCAAAACAACTATTACTACAGTTACAGTTATTCAAGTATTAAATTTACTTAATATACTTAAAGACTCGCAAAAATTATCCATATGTTTCTATTTATATCGTTTATGTTGTTAACACATAATATAAGCTTCTAACTAAAACTTATTTTAACAAGAAATCTCAAAAATAAACGCAATACCATTTTTCTAATATTTTTTTTAAAGCAATATCAAGATCAAACATTTTCTATAAATACGCAAGTTGTATTTCGGAATTTTATTTAAAAAGAAATCTATTTGAACAAAAGAATTTTAGTCTTCCTACGCCAATAATTATAAATTGAATTCAGAAGAGTCTGTAATACCCAGCATAGCAAGAACTGTTACTGAAAATAAACGTATACCTAGCAATGGTAACAGAAAAGAATAATATAAAGAATAAATATAAAAGAAAGTATAAATATATATATATATATATATATATATATATATATATATATATATATATACACACACACACAAACACTGCAACATATAAATTTCCAATTTTTATTTTATTCACAATAAATATTGATATCTTTTACAGGTCACTCACTGCAAATATATATTATCATAACAATAAGATTTAAATTTATAGTTACAATTTATTAAACTAAAAGAAAATTATACCTTTAATGAAAGATCTGCAATCTCTAACTCTTTATTTTTCAAATCATTCAAATATAACTGCACTCTCTTCTTTTCTTTTTGGAGCATTAAATCTTTTGCAGCAATGTCCTTTTTCAACAGACTAACATCATCAACTAGCTTATCCTTTTCATGAATACTTAAGTTCAAATCATTTTCAAGTTCTACAATTCGATCTTCCTGAAAGCCTATTCTATTTTTCATTTCCTCAAATGCAAGGTTTGATTTTTCGCTATGAACAGATTTCTGTAAAAGAACAAAAATTAGAATGAGAAGAAATAAAACTGACATTGAAAAAAGGAACAATACCCATAATTATTTCATTTTCTATTGAGGTTTAAGAAGTTTGTTTTTCAAAAATATTTCAAACATTTACAGAAAATATAAAAGTTAAATGCAAATTAGTTTTTTCTTAACACAATTTTAAGAATAAATTTATTTTCTGTTTGGTTCTAAAACTTCTTTTTTCTGTACTTATCTAACAATATCAGTATCAAAAGCAAATTTTATATTTAAATAAACTTTTATTGTATGTACTTAATATTATATTATATATCAAAAAAAAAATTTAAATTTTCTGCAAAATTTAAAATACTATTTGGTAAAATAATAAAGCAAGAGCTTATAAAAAAACTTGTTTGAGGAATAATTTATTATATTGCAAAATTAGGAATAATTTATCATATTGATAATAGTGGAATAGTTTATCATATTGCAGAACTAATTTATCATATTGCAAAAATTAATGAAAAAGCCAAACAATAAAATTAATATTGTAAAATTATAACAGTTAAAACAGTCAAACTATTTTTTATTTAAACACCAGGTAATTTCAACGTTATACATAAAAAAGTTATAGGAAATTAATAATTAGTAAAAAGGTTAAAAAATTTGCTTGGTAATTTAAAAGTCAACCAATAAATAATTATACGAGCTATATATGCATTGTACGAAATGTTAAAATTATTTTTTGTTTAGAGAGAAACTTTGAGGAATTATTTATTTAAAAATTTAAATATTTTAAACTAGAAAATAATTAATTGATAATAAAGAGTATTAAAAAATATATATTTTAAAATAAGCTATGAAAGTTTTTTTGTTTTGTTTTAAAATAACTATTCTCTAAGCTCTTGCTGTATTAAATATTTTACCAAATAGCATTTGGTAAGAGCTTATAAAATAGCATGTTTGAGGAATAATGTAAAAAACATATATGAAATGATAATTAATATATAAAACAACAACTATGATAAAATATACAAAATATTTTCTTATTTTTTCAAAATAATAAAGTGTTACATAATTTAAAACATATTGTATTTATTACATAATTACAACAGTTTGTATAAAGGCATGACTTATAGCAGATTGTATTTATTACAAAAGAAAACTCATACTTTATCATATCAAGCAAAAATATCACAACAATAAAAAAAAAATTTGACAATGCATTAGCAGAACTATATAGCAACAAAAATCCTAAAAGTTAAACAACAACTAAAAGTTAAATAACAAAGCAATTGTTCTTGTTTATACTAGTAAGCGACCGGGGTTGATATTTGACCAAGGCCGGGGTCGAGTTTGATAAAGTAAAGCCGGGGCCAGGTTTGTGACCGGGACTGCATAAACATTTATACATCCTAAAGTTTGTTTTTTTTTTATTTAAAACTCATCTTTTGTATATATATTATTTATGCATATATAAACATCATTTTGATCAATATGATTATATCACCATTACCATCATCATCATCATAATGATGATGACCATCATTATCATCACCATAATCATCATTTTTGTGATCATTATTGTTATCATGATGATCGTCATCATTATCTTCATCGTGATCATCATCATCATCTTTAACATCAGGCTTTAGTCTTCCTCTTTTATGCTGTTTCTTTAATCATGGTTAATCCTCAAACAAGCTATCATCTCTATTACGATAAGCCAAAACTCATTCTTGCTTGGCTTCTTATTCAACAAGTTGCATTCTTTTACTGTATCTGTCCCTTCATGCTATAAAACTTTTATTAATCCAGTTTTTTTCCTCACACATCAAAAAAACCTTATAAGTCTTACCCATTATCATGTTTTCCTTTTTATACAACCTACAACTTTTTAAGTCTTCAGTTAACCAATTCCTAGCTTTTTAACCTATACTCTATTTTAAAGTAACTCATAACTTAATAGTGGTTGCTTGCAGCCTTGTTGGAAGTAAATTGGAGTTTAAAAATATATAAATATATGCCAGTATTTGATAAACAGTAAATTTAAGTATAAAATTGTAATATATAAAGTATAATAAATTTTTTTCTAGCCTTGGCTATTAACCCCTGCTAAATCATATAATTTTGCTAAGGCATGGTTTGCAAAAAGTCTCATTTTTAGCCAGGGCCAGGACCCCGATCACTTCCTAGTATATACTTGGCTATACTTTTAGGAAATGTATTAGCAAATGATCAATAAATTCTAAACACCACAGTATATTATGATGTAGACCTCGCATAGCTACTATGTAAGTTTTGAAAAAAAAAATTAAAAATCTTCCTTTATAAACTTTTTTCTATATATCAGAACCAACCATTTAGGTAAAAAATATGAATACCTTGTTTTGACCTATAAAAAATGTATTTCAAAATTTGGCAGATTGTTAAAACACTAATAAGGAACAGACACTAAAATACCTATAAACCTGCATAAATATATTACATATACCTTTAAAAGTGATATTTCATGTTCTTTGTTTTTCAATTCATTGAGGTAACTGTCAGCTTTCCATTCAAGCTTTTGAAGCATTAAATCTTTTAAAGCAATATCTTTCTTTAGCAAGCTTATCTCAGTGTTTAACTGGTGTTTTTCATTTACTGTTGAAGTTAGACCAACTTCTGTCTCTCCAACTTCATCTTCATGACTCCCTAATTTTTTCCTTTCTTCAAATTGAAGATCAAATTTATTATCAGGAGCAGGTTTCTATAAAAGTAAACTTATAATCAGGAACAAGCTTCTATAAAAACAACTGTATATCATCAGGGGCACGTTTTTATAAAAACAAATTTATTATTATATGCAGGTTTCTAAAAAAACAAACAAGCAAGAACAAACATTTGGTACAAATATATTTAAAATTTATAAAAATTTTTAACATATTTAAAATTTTTATAAATATCTTACTGATTTTGTAATGTTTTTATTAAGTAATCTATTTCGATAACTTTGTTGAGCAATTCGAGATTGAAATAAACCAAGTACATGATCATTATGAAGATATCTATTTAAAAATCAAAAAAATACATAAAACAATAACTGCACATTATTTTATTTTGATAAAATTTTCTATTTTAAAACACTCTTTATTCAAAAGAAAAACTTAATATTAAGACATATTATAAATCTAAAAAAAAAACTTAGATAACAATATCAACTTTAGGCAATAATCAAAAAAAAAAAAAAATGGAATTGCTTAGAGTGTCTATATTTTGCTATTCAGATATTGCTTACCGAACACCTTTGTATTTCAAACCAAGTTTATCTCTGCGAATGGCAGTCACTTCATTTCGCAATGCATCTACCATATTTTCATTCTGCATATTATCAATTTTATAAGCCATTTGATCATGTAAATCATTATTTAACAAATCTAACTGTTCATGCTAAAAAAATTTTAAAAATAAGTATTAAAAAAGATTAAATTTTGTGTATAATTATGAATATATTCTGCTTAACACTAATTTATCTATTCAAATAAAAAAATATTATCTAAATATATACTTAGTTCAAACTACAAATACTTACAATAAAAAATCAAAGTTTAGTTTTAAAAATTCTTAAATAATAACTTTTATTAAGTAAACAAATAAACCTTGACAAAAAATAATTTGAAACATCAAATATGAAATAAACTTACCATTTTAGAAATGGCCGTTATGTCTAAAAGATCAAAACTATTGATTATAACAACTACATTATGAATCATACATGTTAAAAACACCCATTTTCTAATGAATGATATAACATATACTTTATGCAAACCAGTATTAGTTGTATTCAAAAGGATAGAAACTGTTCAAAAATAATTTTTTTTTGATTTAAAAAAACTTCATTTTTAGTCATGGAAAATTGATAGTATTTCTACAAATAGATGACTTTTACAGCATTATTATTTTGTTTTAATTTAAAACAATCCACTGCTAAAAAATCAATAAGATTCAATAAAATTACGGAGAACTTTTGGTAATAGTTCATACAGAAAATATTTTAGACAATTCGTTGAAGGTATTCTTGAATCACACTTAAATTGAATTATTATTACAGCATAGTTACTTAACAAACACACCTTAAAAAATGGGTAATTTTAATTTGCACCTAGCAATTATAAATATATTTTAAAATAACTGAACTTTAAATTTTTTTTCATAATAATTACATCTAATACCAATTCCAAATAAAAACAAACAGAAATATAAACACCAATCACATAAATTTATCATGATAAAAAACTGTTGATATAAAAATATCATAACTTACCATTATTTAAATCATCTTGGCTAAACACATGTGTAGAATGCGACAAATATTTAGAATTACTTTGACCAGGATGAGCTGTTAGTGGACGAGAATTTGAAGGTGGTTTAGGAGTCTGATAAAGTAAGAAAATAAAAACAAAATAACAGCAGCAACAATTACAAAAACAACAACAACTACTACTACTACTTCTATAATTGTCACTTCTACCAACACTAGCTACAGGGCGTCTGCCAATATTCTAAGATGGATTTCCGTAATTTTCACCTGATCCACTACCTGTTTTCCCTGATTTAATTTAAGGTTACCCCTAATTTTAAGACACCCTTAGCTACAACAAGCTACAACAGCTACTATAAAAGTAATAATATTGAAAGTAATATTATTATTAATAAAATTTCAAATATTATGTAACAAGAATTTTATATTAACTTAAAAAATTATTTTCATTTTAACTTTTTATTTTAATAAAAAAATTAAAAGAATTTTTTAAAAAAGTATGGACATCCTTAATATAAATTGAAACAAAATATTTAAATAAAATTAAAACCTTCATCAAATAAAACAACCTTAAATGAACTTACATGAGCAGAATGAGATGATTGATTTAAAGATTGACTTAATGGACAATCCCATGTTGTAGCTGAGTAACGAACTTCAAATCGAGGACCACCTAATATATTAATAAATCAAAAAAAATTAAAACAACTGCATTTGTCCAGCATATATAAACATCCCCACCATATACAAATTAAAATAAAATATTTAAACAAAATTAAAAACTTCATTATAAAAAAATTTATATTATTATATTTCATAGCGACTACAAACTGTGATATCACCTATTTTCCTAATAGTTATTTACTTTTAAATGAAAATTAGTTTTAAGCTATTATTTATTAGTAGATATCCTAAAAGATGTAAATTATTTAATAATTGAACTAGGAATGATATTATAAATACGTCAGCTAATTAAATCCATACTTTAAAAATGACATAATTGTGATATTATCAATTGTATGCACAAAAATGTCAACATTAATATAAATTGATTTAATATTTTTTATAAAACATCATCACCTTCATCTTCTAGGATTAACTCTTACTTCTGATCTTTCTTGGAAACCTTATATCAAATCCGTTGCAAAATTAGCATCTGCTAAAGTCACTTGTCTTTATCGAGCTCGTCACTTTCTTACTCTGGATTCTATTCTCTATCTCTATAAATCTCAAATCCGGCCTTGTATGGAATACTGTTGCTATATCTGGGGTGGATCTTCTAATGATTCCCTTTCTCTTTTAGACAAGGTGCAAAAACGCATTGTAAACATAGTTGGACCTGCTCTTGCAGCCATCCTTCAACCTCTGTCACATCGTCGTAATGTTGCTTCTCTTTCTCTTTTCTACAAATACTATAATGAGCACTGCTCTAAAGAGCTAGCGTCTCTTGTGCATTCTACTAAAATTCATTCTCATGTTACTCCTTTTTCTGTTACTGTTCCTAAGTGCTCCAAAAACTCTTATTTGTCTAGTTTTTTTCTCAAACATCAGTTTTTTGGAATTTGCTTCCTTCATCTTGCTTTCCTGATTTATATAATTTGCAATCTTTTAAGTGGGGATGTTTATATATGGCAGTGTTTTGGCTATAAGTTGATAATCAGAGGCAACTGTTAGATATATATTTTGAAATAAAATAGACACGAAGTGTTATACTTTCTTGAAAAAAGATATCACATAATTACCCTGTGTAAAAATTTTAGGCTTGGATAACTACACGATACCACTTTTTTAAACTACATGCATTGCAACTTTTAAATCTTGCTCTACAATCTTCATCTTTTCTCTTCCAGTAACTTTTAACACGAATTAGTGGTTGCTTGCAGCCTTGTTGGAAGCGAAGATGTTAAAAAAAAAAAAAACAGATATAGATTTTTTTGCACAAAAAGAATAATTGACTCATGGAATATCAAACTAAATTATAGAGGTTAACTCAATAAACCATTCAAGATCATCTTCACAAATTCAACATGTGTACCATTATTATAATTGTTGAAAATATTTTTATTAAAATACTATTATTATTATTATTATTTTATTAAAATATGATCAAAATATGCATTTATTGTATATAATACAAGTTTTATTCATTTTATAAATTCCTACAACCAAAAATTAATATTAAAATGATTACCTTGTCCTAATCTTATAATATCTCCATGTGCTAACCGAACAGCAGCATTTTGAACACGGCAGTCATTTACATATGTACCATATGAAGTATTAAGGTCTTCAATAAAGTAGCATTGGAGGTGACAGTCATATTGAATGACTGCATGTTCAGATTCAATAGCAAAACTCTACAAAGTATGTTAAAAATTTTGAAGATATATATAAGAAAGTATTAGAAATAAAAAATATAAGTTTTAAAATCTAAAAATTTTTGGCATTTTCTTCAGATCAATAACTTTTGATTATATCATACTAGTATTTTCTACTATAACTTTAAACTAAAATATCTGAAAAGAGTTATAGTAATAACTCAGGATGTAATAGTAATAACTCAGGATGTAATAGTAATAACTCAGAATAGTAATAACTCAGGATGGTCAAAGAACATTATCACAGGACAGTTAAATTTATGACAACCCCCATCTCCATCTTAAGACTAATAATATAAAAAATTTTCGTTGAACTTCTTTTATTTTTAAAACACAGTTAAATGCAAAATTATCAATAGGTTTATTGATAATTTTACATTATGTTTTGCAATTTTAGTAATGGTTCTAAACTCACAAAAAAAAATTCAAATCAACTAAAGCAGTAATTAAAAATAGTCAACCTTGAAAACCTAGAACCAAATATTTGTGTCTAAAATGATGATATTATGGCAGTGTTTTGGCTATAAGTTGATAATCAGAGACAACTGTTAGATATATATTTTGAAATAAAATAGACACGAAGTGTTATATTTTCTTGAAAAAAGATATCACATAATTACCCTGTGTAAAAATTTTAGGCTTGGGTAACTACATGATACCACTTTTTTAAACTACATGCATTGCAACTTTTAAACATATAATTAATTGGTACTTTTTTTATTATGTGCATAATTTCAATATTTAAATAAAAGAAACTTAACCCTAATGGAAAAGAATAATTCTATTCCCTCTTAAACATAAGAATTATTTATTCTCTAATTCAATATATTTTTCATTTTATTCTCCAACTCTATATATCTATAGTTCTATTCTTACCTCTACAAATCTATATATAGTGACAAAAGTAACCCTTGTATAGAGTACTGATGTTATAACTTAACAGTGTCATCAAATGATTGCTTTTTTCTTAGAGAATATGCAAAAAAGAATTGTAAACTTAGTTGAACTATAGAAGCTAAACTTAACCTTTGTCTCATCATCATAAGGTATCTCTCTTTATAAATATTATCATCTCTTGTTCCACCTAAACAAATACTTTATTGTACAACTCATCATTCTGTTAGATTGGATCTTTACATAGTAATTGATTGCTTGTGTTTCTTCTAGTTTTACACTCACATTTTTAGGCGCTTTGGAATTCTGTCAGCTAATTTCATTTTCTCCACATATATTCTATTTTCTCCAACCGTTTTAATAATTTATGCAGTTTGCAGCTTTGCCAAGTCTTTTATTTTTGCTTTTTGCCTAATTTTTTTGTTTTTGTTTAAGTCTTTTGTTTTAACTTAATGCTCATCAAAATGGTGATAAGCATATAGGTAAAAAAAAAATTTTAAATCAAAATTATCAAGTAAAAAAGAAGTTATAACAAAATAAATCAAGGAATAAACTTTTTATTATTAACAGTATTAAAAAATATTTTCAGTTATCTCCTAAATAATATATTATTATCATACAGATAGATTCTTTATTTTCATTTATACTCACTTTAAAGTTTAAGTCACATTTATACTCACTTTAAAGTTTAAGTCACAATTTTCTTTACCAAGTTTTGTTCTAAAAGGATTTAAGGTAAAATATTTTCCAGTTTCTAAACTTCGCAAGGTGCCTTTCATTTTCACTACTTTTTTATTTAATATAACTTTAACTTTGTCTTTACTGCTAAAAAAAAAAGAGGTAAATATATATACATATAAATAGGCACCTGAACTTTTTTACTAACTTATATATTTGTGTGTTTGCATATTTAAAAGCTCAACTTAAAATAAAAAAATCATTATAAACTGATACTATATTGTTTAGTAAAGGTATATCAGAACCTATTGTACACTTAAAACACTCAAAACTTTAAGAATAAATCTTAAATTAAAAATTGTGTACAGTAAATTATATAGTTTTATGTTGAATGTTTGTTATGTTGCTAAGAAATGTAGCAACTCTTCCTTAATTCAAGAGAAACTGAACTCTCAATTGAATCAATATTAATAAATTATTATCTTTTAATTAAAATTTAATAAAAATTTTTTTAAATTAATCAACTAAAGTTTCTCTAGTTTTTATAATACTATATATTTGCAATTTAATAATGCATTAAAATCTTAGGCAATTTTAAGACAAAATATGCTTTCTTTTTAAAATTTATTATTAAATATTATTAATCATTAAAACTATTACACTTTAAGTGATATATCTATATATGTATATATATTCTATTCTATTTTTATATATGTAAATATATTCTATTCTATTTTTTGGGCTTGTTTTCATTAACTCTTTGTTATTTTATTTGTATTTATTTTTTGAAACTTGTTTATTTTCTTGTCCTTTATGAATTTGTATTTTTACAAGGTCGCTCTCCTCGTTTTAGCCAGGCTAAATGATAGTGAACCTTCCAGTCGGTATTACGTTGTTTAACACCTTTGTATAATATTTACTGGTAAATATATTGTTATTGTTGTTGTTGTAAGTTAAAGTGTAATAGTTTTAATGATAAATTATATTTAATGATAAAATTTAAAATGACAGCATATTTTAACAGTATAAATTGTAAGGATAGAACATATTATTAGAGGTTTATTTAAACACAACTTTTAATTAACCCTAACAAATAGGCGTATTTACTGGACGGTAGATTATTATTAATAACTATAGATAATATTTATTTTTTATTATATTGCATAATTATATACAATTATAATTTAAAACTTTACATTACAAAATGTAAAATTTAAATGCGTATTTCTATCTGATTTTTAAACTTTACATAACTATCATATCATGCATTCGTAGTCATGTAATCAACATAAAACTTTAATGTTGATACAACAAAATACTTGAAGCCATATTATTTTGCGTATAGAAACGCATAAATAAAACTTTGCGGTATAACTTTACCGGTTGTCCGAAACTGGATCAAATAGCCCTTTTTTTATATATATTTTTACAACTTTTTATTTTTTTTAATGTTTAATCTTTTGCTTTTTTCCTATAATATGTTTGTTTTTTTAGAATTTTATAAGAACAGTTTTATAAAGTCAAGTTCAAATGGGTCAAATCTAAAATAACTATTTTTTAAAAGAATTTTTTTAATTACGCCGCCTCATTTTTAATACAGTTTGAAAGTGATTAAAATTTTATTTTCATAAAAATTTCGACAAAATATTTGCAAAAAAATAAAGTAAAAAAATGAATGCGACTTTTTATACATGTATATGCATTTGCACATTTTTATCATATATACTTTTTCATTTTTTGTATTTACACCGACTGACTTAATATTTAGATCATCCAAGTAAACACAAAACGTGTAAAAGACGTTTTAAAGACATTGTTTTAAAGACGTTGTGTGTTTACTGGGATGCAAGGAATATACATTCATTGATTGACTTATAGTCAATCAATGAATGTATACTTTGGGCATATTTCGCGTCACACTAAGGAAGGAGGCGTGAACTTCCTGGTTAAATGCATTTCCGCGGTGCTCTCTGACAAGACCGTTAGGACTTCTTGAGGCACCTAAATAACAAGTTTAAACAAACTTAAATTTAAATTTATAGTAAAAACATGCGAGGAAAGTACATAAATTGATTCACGGTTTGGATAAGGGTAAGCAATCTTCATGTTTACCTTAAAGCTTATCCCGATGTATATACCATCCATGCATGTTGCTCAACAAAAAACAGTCTCAGAGTTTGATAAAAATAATTTACCGGAAAAACATTAATTTTAATTCAAAACAACATTTTCGGAAAATTATTTTTTAGGAAAAAAACTTCAATATAAAACAAGTTGCCCTATAAAAAGTGATGTTTGATAAGAATAAAAAGCAGGCTATAAAATACTTTAAATGTTAATTTCATTTTATCACCGCATAATTATAAACTAAAGTCGTGTGTGTTTAAGAATTCTGGTAAATGTTAGCGTTAATTTTGCGTTTTTTTTTTAAACTTCAACATCAAATTCAAATAATACTAATATTCAAATAATACTTGTAAAATAATTATGATTATAATTTATGATTTTTAAATTTTTTCACGTTTAAAAAGGGATTAAAGTTTTGAATACAAAAGTAAAACGACAGACGCTTGTGAAACATTTTTATAAATTAAAATACTTTTTAATAAACATAAAAATAAACAAAAAAACTTCATATAAAAACTTTTAAAATCATTTTATAGTTATTAAAACTTGTTTTTAAGTTATATTTAATTTATTGAGAACTTTTGACTTGCATTTTTAACTTTTATTCCACACTTCGGCTTCAGCTTTTGCCCTTTTTACAAATGGCGGAATATTGTTATAAACAAAATAAAGTGGCTTGATTTTTTGTCTAATAAAATCCCGCAAGTTAAACATCTAGTTTATATAATATATCATTTGTCTCTTATTACTTTCATTTTTAGGTCTGTTTTATGTAAAACTTGATTAGCATAAAATTCTCTATCATAAGCATTAATAAAAATAGGAAATAGGAAGTATTAATAAAAAATAAAAATAAGTTGTTCATCTCATTGTAATGTTGTTCATCTCATTGTAAGTCAAAATTATTATTTCATTCGTTACTCTGTCCTTCATTAATCGTTCAAACAGGAAATGCTTGACAATATCAATTTTTAATCGTGTAAGTTCTAAATGCAACTAAAAAATGCTGGTTTTTCTACGGATACCCATAATGCCTTTTACCATTTATCATTCAAGTGTTTGAAATTTTTGAATTTCACTCTTGTTAAGATGACATACGTCAGTGTTATAATACAATATTGTTTATATATTGTTTATATACATTAATTAATTTATTTTTCTACAAAAACAAATGAATTAATGTATCTTTAGTAATGGATCCGTAAATGTATCCAAACCTCAGTTTCTTGCTGCATAATTTGCTTTGTAAAATTTATTTCGTCTTTACTCACAATGGTTACTACTTCTAAGATCATCTCGAATGATTACTCCAAAGTATTCAATTGAGGTTACCTGGTCAATTGCAGAGTTTTTTGTTTCTCTGATTTGCACCAATCTTTATAAATTATATTTTTTTGCGATTCTATTGAATTTGATTCTAATGAACTTTTACCATAACTCTCACAAATTTCAAGTAATAGATTTAATATTAGTCACGTTATTAGTTCAATTATAGATATTAAATTAATTGATAATTATTCTTTTAGTTTGCAATTTGTAGATCAAGATGAAGACGAAAATATTTTCTTTAAACTAAAAACATTGTTATGTTATTGAAAATGGTTATTTTGTAATAGAAAAAAAGCTGATGAAAGAAAATAAACTAGATAATTTTTTTTCTGTTTTGCCTTTAATAACATCAACTTTAAGCCTGAACGTTTTTCCAGAAACTAAATTAAAATTAAATGACTATTAGTATTATATATTTTTTGCTCACAATCTCAATATGGTGTTTGTTAATTCTATTCAATTAATTTCACCAGAAAGTTCACCCCCCCCTCTTTCTTATCAATGTCGCTTATCTAGCTGGAGCCAGAAAATGAACCTCGAACCTTTTTGTTATGAAAAACTACTAGTGGTATGTAGTTAGTGGTATAGTGGTATGTAGTTAGTGGTAAATGTAAGGAAAATACTAAATGTAAGTTCTTTTTTTTCAATAATTTGTTAAAAGAATAGAAAAAGACTACTACACGTTTATTATCTTATTCCTATACTTGCACAAAAATATCGCTTAAAATAAGAACGTAAGCAGCATCTATTGTTGGGCTTACCATAATTTGCGCTTGTTGACTTAAATGAATTTTCAGTAAAAAAAAATTTCCATTTGTTTTAGTTAGCATAACAGCATTTTGTGTTAGTTGGCGTAACAAAGTTAAGTATACAGTTACGTCGACCTAATATTTTGTTAGCCATTACGTTGGGTAGCGTAGCGTATACAACCTAACGATGGTGCAGATAGATAAGTCAATATGCTGCCAATTCTACGATGCAAAATCAAAACACAGCTATCTATAGTGGTATGACAGCCAAACAATAAGAAATGCGTTGGGTAAACTTCGGTTAACTAAATTTTTAAATCAAGTGCCGGTCAATCAAAAATAATAATTTTTTATTTATACTTAAATAATTAATTTCATTATCTGCAAATAATGTAGAGGCAAGATTGTTAGGAAGACTCAGGATCTAATTGAGGAAGTAATGTGGAAAAAAAAAATGGAATTGTGTGATATCCTATAGATTAATAGAAATGAAAAAAACTTTTTAAAATACAGCATGTAAAATGAAATTATAGAGAAAACCAGCTCGATTTTCATTTCAAGAGCAATAACACTTGTCTCACTGAATTCAATTTTTTTTTTTCCTAAAATTAAAAAAGTTTTTCACAAAACTTTTTTAATTTTACGATGAATAAATAACAGCTGTAAAACAAGAGTGTTAAAAAAGTGAAATAAAAAGAAAGATTGTCATTAGAAACTTAATTCAAGATCTTGCTAATAATAGTATGAAGACTAGTTGAATGATTGTTGGAAGTATCTCCAGCATTAAATATCTTATTAACCAATTTCAAAAAAATTTAAAAGGCTACGTGAGAACATTTTGCAAGATAATTACAAGAGTGTTGTTAGGATCAAAAACTGTAGAAATCAAAGAAAAAGTCTTAAATCTTTACCGTATAGAAGTTGGACATATAACAAACGCTTTCAAGATAAAGGAACTTTTTTTGAAGGTATTTGATTTAAAACTATTTTAGTTTTAGGTGAGATAAAACGCATATAAAGAAATATATAAGAGGAGGAGGGGGGGGGGGGGGTCCAAAAGTGAAATGGCGGGAATGGAGTGGAGAAAGGGGCGTTCGCTATGTGTCAAACTTAGTGACTCATCATTAGTATAGACATTTTTGTTTCAGCTCTGACGCATCATTCTTTTACAAACACTCAACAGCTAAACTAAGGGTGTCTTGCACTTGGAAGACAACGCGCCAGTTCACAAGAGCAGAGTTGAAATTGCTGCTCTGCACAGACGTGACTTCGAATAACTTGTGCATCCACCCTACAGTCCAGATCTGGCGCCAAGTAATTTTTATTTGTTGCCTAATTTGAAAAAGACTTAAAGGGTAGGAAATTTTTCGATGACAATGAGGTAAAGGAGGCAATTTTGACTCATTTTGAAGCAGCAGATAAAAAATACTTTTATGATGGTATAGAAAAATTAATTCATATATCAAATAAGTGTGTTTAACTTAAGGGAGATTATATTGAAAAGGCGAAAATAGATTTGTTGTTTCATTTTATTTAAACCCCTCCATTCCAAGAAATTTTGACCCCTTCCCCCGTCCCTCGTATATATACATTTTTGTCATAATTAGTTTCACTTTCGTTTTTTACTTTCTCGGAAAGTAAGAAACGAAATTCTTTAAATTTTGCTAACTTTGCTGACGCAAAATGGCCTAATAGAAGATAAAAGAAGCGTTTTAAATAAAGTCCAGGTCCACTTATTTTTATTCTGGAAAACTAACTAAACCATTTTACCTTTGACCATATAATAGTGAACACTTATTCTTTTATTTTAAAAAAATGGTGGTAGCAACTGTTTGTCAACTTAGAAATTCGTTTTTGCGATATCAGTTTTATCTCAGGCGCTTTTTAGCTACGATACATTGCGATATGTCGTATGAGGCAAGCTATTTTAATTATATAAATCACTTATTTTTATATTTGTACCATAATTTTTATTTAACTTTATTGTTTTCTTATAGATTTTAGTTTAAAATTATGCAAATCTTTTTATGTACTCATTTTAATCGCTTTTGTTTGGCAATATTTTGGGTGCTCTTTTTTGATGATAAATGTTTTTATACTAATAAGATATTTGTTACAATATTAACAATAGTAATCCTAATAATAATAGTAATAATAATAATAATAATAATAATAATAATAAAAATAATAATAATAATAATAATAATAATAATAATAATAATAATAGCAATAATAATAATAATAATAATAATAATAATAATAATAATAATAATATTTTAGCGTCTCATTATGTTAATAATTAACAAAATTTTACAGAAAAATTAATAGTTATTGAGTTAGATATATTGATTGTTATTTAGCGATAAGTGCAAATAACTTACATTCACAAATTATAGCTTAAAATTTAAAATTATAAAGTCAAACTTTAAATTTATTGTTTACATAAAAAGTTAATAAAAGCTGAGCTATTATATTTTTCTTGATATTCACTTTAAATGTAAACATTAATAGTTATAAAAATATTAAAAAACAATCTTGATGATGATGTCATCAAGATGTCATACTGTAGTAGCACCAATTGAAAATTTAGATAATCTTGACTAGCAGTATTTAGTGATATTTTGTCTTCAAATTTTGAATTTTCCTGTTTTTGTGATTAATTAATTTTTTTTAGTAGAATATTTATATAAAGAGTTATTCTTTTTGTTTAGGATGCAATAAAGTCATTAAACAGTTTGCAATCAAATGCAGCTGTAATTGAAAAAATACGCAATGAACAGGGCCGGTTTCAACAAAACAGTCTTCCAGAAATGCTTGCATTTTTACATCGAATAAATGTAAAAGTATGATCTTTTTATAGTTTATTTTTTTCAATATAATTTAAGAAATAATTTTGAATATGCTTAAGTTGTTACATAATTTTAGTTTTTATAAAATAGATAATGAAAAAGCTAAAAGAAAGACATTTTTTAATTTTAAAGAACTTTATAGACTTAGTATAACAACAGTTTTATGATAGCATTTTAATTCTTAAGTCTAAGCATAGCTGCTGGTACTCATAGTGTATTGGCAATATGTTGAAGGCTTAAATTTTGTAAATTTTGGCATGCATTGGGGTTTAGTTCTCAGCTCTTTGCTTTTTATTATTGTCTTGGAAGTTATCTTTAAAGAGTTCAGATTTGATTGTAGTGGTATACAAGTTGCTTTTAAACTGGTTTTTTTTGAGATGCAGTTTTGATGAATATAAAGAAAAATGTAAAAAAGAGAATAAATAGTTATGGAAAGATAGTGTGTTGGCAAAGACAGTTGTAAATTTTTTCCTAACTAAGTTTAGAAAATCATCTCATTGTTTCTTTGTTTAGCAGCCTTGTTTTTAAGATTTCTGTTTCCGCATATTTCACTAAATCACATGGTTGATAGATTGCATGTAATAACATTAAAAAAAAATTAGATGCAACTGTAGTTTTTTGCTGTTTTACATAGCAAGAATGAATCAAATTAAGACTATAGAGGGGTAAAATATACAAGGTTAGGCGAGGCTTTTTATCTAGGTGAAAGTAACCTTCCTAAAAAAACAAACTTTGATGTAAAACATTTGTGATCAAGGTAAGTGTTTGTAAACTTTTGATGTTAACCTTCTTAGTGGTAGTATCACCATAAAAATACTCAATCCTGATCTGCTTCAATAATTATTGTTAAAAAGGTAGCTGGTTTTAAAAAACTGTTATAATTCCATAATGTCGTAAATAAATTAAAAAATAGCCTAATGAAAGCCCACCCAAATCATTTAAGTGTGAAATTAAGACATTTAACTTAAAAAATATAGGTTTTTTAAAATTGTTATTTATTACAATACTTTATTATTTTATTATTTATTATAATACTTTATTATTTTATTATTTCTATTATATTACTGTTTTTAAAAATTTGTTATTGTTTTTATAATTTTGTTATTGTTTTTATAGTTTTTTTTATTACTTTTAACATTATCATTTAAATTTTATTGAGCAAAAAATTTGTCTTTTAATATTTTGTTTTAGGTATCGGATTTAGATTCATTGAATATAATTCATATTAGTGGTACAAAAGGAAAAGTAATCAATAATTTTTAATTTTTTTATTAATAAAACATATTCTAATGATATTTGAATCTAATAATGAACCATGTATTTTGATTTATCAAAAAATAAAAAAGTACTTGAGAAAATTGTGCCTTAAAACTGTGTCTTTTCTAATTAATTTTTATAATGTATATTAATGTAATGTGTATGTCTTCAAAACATACTGTATGCATACCAGATGCTCCTACTGTAATGCACCATTCTAGACTATGTTAGCAAAAGTTAGAAAAATGTATATATATATATATATATATATATATATATATATATATATATATATATATATATATATATATATATATATATATATATATATGATCATTATATTTAAGTTGTTATTTTTATGAGAAGCATTTTTTAGTGTTTTTTTACTGTTATATGTTAGATAGTCTATTTGTAACAGAAGTTTATATTAGACTTCTTAGACAATTTGTAAAATTTTTTTTTTAAACATATTTACAATCCCAAGATCCAGAGGAACTTTCCAAGATTCATAGGTTCTTTCAAATGTTCAGAGGATAACTATTATATATATATATATATATATATATTACACTCTTGGTATCTTTCTTAAGAAATCCCAATCATCTTTAATGAAAGTTTTTTGTTTTGTTACAATTGGAGACAAAATTATATGTAAGAACTGGCTTAAATGTGATGTTGGTGAGTTAATTCCAGCAATAATTGGTCTACCTTTGAGATCTTCCCACTAATGGGCACATTTCTAGTTGTAGAACTGGGCAATCAACAGATAGGTTTGATAACCATGTATACAATTGTCAACGTGTGCACAACACCATTATAGAACCTTTTTTCCAGCTTTTTGTATTTGTGGAGTAAAAAAAATTAAAAAAATCTAATCTCTTATAAGAAGCATTTTCACAACCAAAAACATGATATTTTTAATTGACATTACAATATGGATTACAATAGTTGCTAACAGCAACATTAAATAATTATCATTTCCTGTTTTTTTTTTTTTTTTAATCAGATTTTGTTGTTATGATAGCAAAAACAGCACTACTGATGATTTTTTCTAGTGCTAAAATATTAAAATTTATAATTAGTATAATTTTTGTAAAATTAAAAGAACTTTTTTCACTTATAAATAAATAAATAAATATATATATATACATATATATATATATATATATATATATATATATATATATATATATATATATATATATATATATATATATATATATATATATATATATATATATATATATATATGTATATATATATATATATATATATATATATATATATATATATATATATATATATATATATATATATATATATATATATATATATATATATATATATATAATAGATTTTAGTTGAAATTAGAGCAAGAATTTCATATGAATTATCTTTAATGTAAAAAATTAGCTCAAAAGTTTTAAAGTATTCAAAACAAAACAAAAAATTTGGTTTATTATAAAATTGTAAAACAAAATTTTTATATAAGAAAAGTATTGTTTATTTGACCAGCAAAAGTTCAACTTGATTATTAAGTTTTGGTATCAACCAATCATATTGTCCAACTAACATTTATTTTTAGTTTTGAATTTGTAGAGAAAATTTAAATTATACTGAATTAGTAGAGAGAAAATTGTCATGTTTTAAGTTGGTAAACCTAGTTTAATTTTAACAAATACTAAAATTTAGTATATCATCTTTTTTTACTACAGTATAAAAACTGGCAATAACAAAATAGAATAAAAAAAATATTTGAGTAATTCAAACTATGTTATGATTAATTAAGATTATTAGATAGATTCTTTTCACTTGGTATAACAGAACTGTTTTGTTTGATATAAAAATGTTATCCAAGTTTTGCACCAGAAATGAAAAACCAACTTGTGTCTATAGTATAAAATATAATCTATATATAAAATTAAATGGTATAAAATATTGGCTATGTGCATGGTGTTGCCATTTTATTTTTTATTTGATGTTTATTAATATTCTAGATTGCTAACAGAAAATTGTATTATACTATAAATATATTAACATTGTTGAAGCTAAGCTCACTGAATAAGGTCAACTTTTATTAATATCTTTTAATGAGCATTTTTAATGAAATCAAATCTACAAATTTTTTAAAAGTTTTATGTTAAGGTTAGGTTTGAAGCCATTTTATATATTAAATAAGATGGATAATAAAATAGGATTCACTTCATTTTTATTGTATGTTTCAGTTTCTGTATTTTTTATTTATGGTTCAGTGTCTACATTTTTATTAAAGGATTCAGTGTCTACATTTTTATTATAGGGTTCAGTGTCTGCGTTTTGTGAAAGTATTTTGCGACATTCTGGTTTAAAGACTGGTTTATATACGTTAATAATGTTTATTTTTTTATATTTGAAATTGGATTTTTTATTTTTTTATTTCTGTCTTGTATCTATTTAGTTTTTTTTAGCAACAATACTGTTTTTAGCAACAATAATATAAATTATTAATAATTAACAATAATATAAATAATGTTGTTATTTTAAATTATAAAATGTTTGTTTTAACTTTAATCATTTAATAAAGTTTCATAAAAATTTGTTAAGATATAAATTCTTTCTTTACTTTATTTAATAAGTATATTTTCTTATACTTTCTTTACTTTATTTAATAAGTATACTTTCTTTACTTTCTTTAATAAGTGAGCAGCCGTGGCGCAGTGGTAGCGCACTTGCTTTAGAAACGTAAGATCCGTGGTTCAAGCCCCACCTCTGGGCAAGTTTTGCGACATCGGTTGGGAAGGAAACATGAATTTCCTATTAAATGCTCTTCTGCGGTGCTCTGTGATAAGACCGTAAGGACTTCTTGGGGCACCTTAATCAACTTAAAAAAAAAAAAATTGCTTATTATATGTAAAATAAACAATGCATATGTAAATATATATAAATTTAATTCTATATTTATTGTAATTAAAGTAAAAAAAGATTTTTTGAAATATTTTCTTCAAGTCTAATTAACATGAATTAAAGTAAAAAAGGTTTTTTAAAATGTTTTCTGCAAGTCTAATTAACATGAATTAAAGTAAAAAAGGTTTTTTAAAATGTTTTCTGCAAGTCTAATTAACATGAATAAAAGTAAAAAAAAAGGTTTTTTGAAGTATTTTCTGCAAGTCTAATTAACATGAATTAAAGTAAAAAAAGGTTTTTTGAAATATTTTCTGGAACGTCTAATTAATATGAATTAAAATTTATTGAAAGTATTATTTATTGAAAATAAAAAATTGAATAAAAGTTTTTTATTGTTTCCAGGTCTCCACATTTGGTCGAAGTTCGTGAAAGAATTCAAATAAATGGGAAACCTTTGGATAAAACAATGTTTGCAACTTACTTCTTTAAGTGTTATGAAATGTTGCAGAAAAGTTGTGTTAGAAAATTTTTATAAATATATTTATGTTACTTTCATTTATTTTTATTTTACATTTATTTTTATTTTACATTTATTTTTATTTTACATTTATTTTTATTTTACATTTTATTTTTATGTTACATTATGCATTACTTTTAGAGGTTTAATAAATATATGATGCTGAGATTTGAGAAATGATCCTGAGATAAATTGAGTTGTGAGAAATTGTTTAGTCATGATAAAAAATTAAAATTTTCAAATTTATTCATTCGGTTATTCATGTTAATTTCCTGGTTAATTTTTATGATTGACTAATTTCATGAATAAATGCCATCAACAGTCATTAAGATTATCAATCATTAATTATATTTTAGCAGCCATTATTAGTTAAGTTAATAAAAAAAGTTTGAAGTTTTTGCAACTTTTTATTGATTAAAATGGTGTGAAAAATTTCTTAGTCCCAAAAAAGAACATTAAACTACAGAACTATAGAAAATTATGAAAAATATGGTAGAGCAAACAAAACAGACAGGTCTAGCAGGCCTAAAAAAATAGTTAAAACAATATTTTATTGTCGTAGTCAAAACAAATCTTTTCACTATCATTAGATTCTCCTGGTAAAATACTTTTTACTATCTTTATTCATTTTAGCAACAGAATCTAAATAAAGATAAGTATAAACAAAAAAACATTAGAATAATTTTACATGTGAAATTAATTTATAAGTTTCTTAATAAAAGTTTTTTTTTATGAGAGAATAGTTTAAATGGAGAAAGTAGTTACGAAGCAGGAATCAGATAAAATGTTTTTTTTTTTTTTTGCGAAATCTCAAATTGAATTTATTAATATATATTGATCAAATGTATTTTTTAGTTCAAGTAAAATTAATTTTGTATAAACACAGAAATACACAAACAAAATTTAATATACATTCTCTGTATATTAAGAACTTTCTATATATTGAATAAAATTATCCAACACAAATGAAGAAATATTTTTATTCAGAATCAAATTGGTTTTCAATTTCAGACCCAAAATCACTTTTGGGTCTGAAAAACACAGCAATGGCACCAAATATTTACAAAACTGGTAAAAATCTAAAAACATCTTGAGATTTGTACAGGAAAATGGAACCCAATTTTATACCAGTTTTTGATACTTTAAACATAAAACTTTTACTTGCCCTATGGATTAGAAGTGAATTGAAGTTGCTCATTAGAAGCCTTCACTACTATCATTAAAAAGAAAAATACAAAGTTCCTGTCATTGGAAAGCTACTAATCTTGTAATTTTAATGATTTGATACATAAGTAAACAAATAAGTCTGTTTCTTAATCAAATACTTGACAATTTTAAACCAAAGTTTTAAGTCATTGTCTAGTCGGCTTATAAGACAATTTTGATATGTAAATATAGTTATAATTTCTGGAGTTGAGAGTTCTTCAAAAAATTATCATCTTTAAAAAATTTTTTTTTTTTTAAATACTACCTTAAAATAACACCTTAATTGGCCAGGAGTATAGTATTTAGTAGTGATAGTAATGATAAATAATGATTATAATAATAGTAATAATAATAATAAATATTATAAGCAATAATATAAGTAATATTAACAAAAAATAAGTTACATATTTATATTGTAATAAGATTATTAAATAAAAAGTTAGAAATAAGACTTTACCTCATTTACTTAGTTTTAAAGTTTGCTCATGATTTATGAGCATATATCTATAATTTTTTGTATTTGAATTAAGAAAGATGTTGATAGTTTTTTGTTTATATATACATCTATATTTTTTTGTTCATGAATTTTTTAACAAATATTATAGAATAGAATTCTAGAATTTTATAATCCATGGAAATTCTTTTTTTTAATTAAAACATTTTGTATTGCTTGTGCATTCATTCAGTGCACACTTTTATTCATTCACATTTATTCAACATTTTGTAATGCTTTGTTATGCAATAGGTATGATATAATGTTACACAATAGTGATGCAGTGGTAGACTGTTAACTTTGTAAGTAGAGATTTCGAAGAGAGTTTGAACATAACCACATCTCTGTGATGTTACAGGTTTCATGGCACAGCAACCTTGTTTGTCAAGGTTTTCACTTTCAAAAAATGAAAATAAAATAAAAGTATTAAGCCTACTTGACTTTGAAAGAAAAACAAATGTTCATTATTATGAATTTATAATATTTTATTATAGGATAATTATTGTGATTTAGTTATTTTAATAGGAATTAATTTTTTGAAGTGTAAAGTGTGGCTGATGTAGTTTATATAATGTAAAACAGATTTTTTATTGTGAGTTGATTATTTTAATTTAAATCAATCTTTTTTGTAAATACTTTGTTGTTTCTTTCTATTGAAAATGATTGAAAGTTTTAAGTTGAGTTTTTAATTTTAAAAGTTGAAAAAAAGTTGAGTTGGGGTTTAAATCTGTTCCTTTAAGAAAGTTTTTAATTTGTTTAAAAGTATTTTAATTTAAAAAGTTTTTTTCATAGGTTCATCAAGAAGATAAGCTGCCTGGTTATTTTCGGTTTTTAACATTAATGGCATTTAAAGTATTTCTATCTGAAAAGGTTAGGTTTTATTTTTTTAATAGAACAGGTTGTATTTTATTTTTAACTGAACGATTCTGTTTTATTTTCTTACTAAATATTTTCTTTTCGTGTATACAATTAAATAAAATTTTAACAACTTTTTTTTTATTGTATTTATTTTGTAATATTTATTAGCTGCAATAATCTTATTATTATATTACTAGCTGAGATCGGACCCGTAAAAATATGGGTCTTTGTAAATCTATTCAAAACCGAACTTTTCTATACTTTTTCCTTATATATCCTAGCTTTCCGGATCCGTAAAATACAGGTCTTTACCAATTTACATGTCTGTTCTACACCGCTTATTTTTATACCTATTCCTTACTTCAGTATTTTTTTGTAAAATAATTTATACTGAAAAAAAAACTTTGAGCAAAAAACTTAACATACGCACCTTTTCCATATACATAGAGCTTGTAAGAGACCTTAGGTTTAGGTTTGTTTTTCTGCTAAATGCATTTTTTTGGTAGCTTAGTGGTTAAGTGCGCTGTTATCAGTGTTGTTTTGAGGGATTTAAGACCTTCTCTTAGCGTCTTAAATTTTTAATCTTGCTTATATATTTATAGCAAAAAAAATAATAATATAGCAAAAAAGATTTCTAAAATTTAAAATAAAATTTTAAGTATTCCCATTTATAGATATATTATACGGGATTATTCCATATAATGCAAACTCAACATATGCTAAAGATGTTTACACTTACAGACATTTGTATGTAACATTATACAAATGGTAATAAGTCATTAAAAAAAGTTCATTCTTGTGATTATGATTAAAAACTAAAAAATAATATCAAACGCTAATCTAAAAGTTAAGCCAAAAAAATTTTGTGCATTGTCGTCAGTTTGTGGCAAAATAAACCTTTAAGCGTCAAACTTCCTTTTGCATTTATCGTACATTTTTTGATTAACTTTAATTATGCTGCATACAGTTGCACAAAAAGGTATAAAACTGATACAGATATATCATTTCATGTATAAGAGTTTGTATTTATTACAATAGTAATAAATAAATAGTTTTTGTCTTTATTAGAATATATCCCTAAAAAATATGATTTACATATCTTTAGAACTTTTCCTAAAAAAATTTAAATAAAAATCTTATTTCTTGTTTGTTTTTCTAGTTTTTTTGCCACAAAGTATAAAAAAAAAAGTAGCACAAAAGACTTGTAAATATTAGAAAAGTTTACTTATATTACATACGATCCTGAATAAAACCTTATATAACTGGATTTTTTATTTTTATTTATAAATAATATATATAAACAAATAACATATTTGTTTATATATATTGTTTATATAAGGATGGTTAAGCGCAACAAAGTTTAAAAAAAAATAAGTTTATATTAAAAAATGATTTATATAGGGTTTCTTTACACAAACATCAATATAATATATTTAAAGTTTTTAATTGCACTGAACTGCAATTACTTTTTGCAAATAATTTTTTTGGTTTAGTGGCTTTTGTTAAGAGCTTTTAAATTTTGCGTCAAATTATCTCATTTCAACATTTGTTGTATCATCCACATTGCAGCTGTTTTTCAAAATGCTTAATGGTAAAAAAAATCAATTTTAACTTTTTTACAAAATAAGCTAGTTTAGATGTCTACCAACATTATTAAATATATATTTTCAAAGAGTTCTGAAAAAATTCATAAAAATTATTCGTTTCAGAAAATGTTTTATAAAGAATTTCAACTAATATATATTTTTTTAATTGCGTTTTCCTCGAAATACGTAATAAGCATATTAAGGCGTTTTGAAAAATGGCTGCAGCATATATTTATAGTTAAAAAATAAATGTAGCAAAAAAAACTTTATATTGTCAAAAGAAAGTTTTTTCTAGCTAAGGGCTTTTTTTTTTTTTGCCTCCATAGCAGCACCTTCTGGAATAGCAGGACTGTCTTATTAAGTTTTTTCTGTAATAAGTTTCAGAAAACTTTTTTTTCAGACCATCAGCAGCTTATTAGGACTAATTACCTGAGTGCACTAATAACATAAGTATCTCAATCATGACACATACACAACAAATTTTTTCTCCCGGTGTTTTGATGTTTTTAGAAATTTTAGCTTTTTAAAAAACTTTTTGTTCGTTAAAGTGTATAATATCGTTACATATGTTAGTATATAATCTCTATAAAACTTCAAAAGTATTTTGTATTTTAAAATAATTGAAAATAATTAAAGAAAAAAAGTTGCCATTAGTAGGACTCGAACCATGGCTTACTTGTTCAGAAACTCAACGCGCTATCCACTCGGCCGCACAGACACGTTGTTAAACAAAAGTTTTCAAAACTCTATAATAATTTTTTTTAACAAAAAGAAATGACTCAATGCAATTTTCAAGTGAAAATCAAACTGTCAACTTTAATCAACTAAATGTTGATTTATTCAAAGTATGGGAATAATTTACTTTCTTGAAATAAATTGTAATAAAAATAATAAAGTAATTTATATTTTAACATTATTAAATTTTTTTAGAACGCAAATAATTATAATAGAATGAAAAAAGAATTATTGTATTTTAAAGTATTTAATACTTTAAAATACAATAAGCTGTTGAACTTTTAAATAATAATACAATACACCACAATAGTTATTCTATTTGTTTTTCATCCCAGCAATGCAATACAAAAGTTATTATAATCGTTTTATGACACAGAACAAAAACAATATAATAGTTATTGTAACTATTTTTCATCACAGCAATACAATAGCAATAAGTAATGTTTTAATCACATCATACAATGGTTTAGATGGTGTTAATAGGAATTATTTCAGCATGAAAGGGATCAACTGTAAACAAATTTACAAAATTTTATTTTGTTAATGACCTACTAAGAAATTTGGATCATTGAAATCTAGAAATTTTATATCTAAATACATCCAGAGGAAAGTTTATCAAATAAAAGGAACAAGTTAATTTCAAAATCCAGGCATAAAAATAAATTCCTTTTTTTGTATGGTAAGCTTTACATTATTTACTAATCGTTACATCAAATCAAATCATTTTTTCTTTTTTTAATTAAAACATTAAAAAAAAATCTTTAGATTTATTATGGACTTTTGTATTAAAGTATTAGTTAGATGATTTTAGCCATTGCTTAGGCTCTCAGGTACATTACTGTTTACTAAACAAAGACTCATAAAATCCCCAAAATAGAAAATAGTAAATTTAACCCAGACTGGTTAAACTTACCATGAGGTTATTTGTATTACTTCTATATTAAAGAAAAAATTGGATGCAAATTTATTTTAAATTTATCAGATTTAATCCACTTACAAAAATAATTAATAGTTTTGAAATATATTTTTATATATATGAAATATAATATATTTATCAAGTATATTACCAAAATATTTATGATGTTTGAGAATTAACATTCACTTATAATAAACAATTTAGTTAGGATTTAAGTTAAATGAGTTTTTTTTAGAGATTTAGTAGAGCAAGAATTACTTGTTAAATGGTTACAATAAAAGTAAAGTAACTACGTAATTAAAACAATAAACATGGCTACAATAAAAACAATGAAGTTTTTACAATAAGAAAAATGAAAATGATTACAAAAAAATATGATTTTAAATACCATTTTATTTCAGGTTGATGTTGTAATTCTTGAAGTTGGCATTGGCGGAGCATATGATTGCACAAATGTTATACAGTATATTTATATTTAATTTTTTTATCTTTATCTTATAATTATATGGTTTTGTTTAATATACATAGTTTTGGTGGCAAAAAAAAATTTGTGTATGTTTTTAACTTTTAAGTGATTTTATAAATCTTTCTAGAAATCCTGTTGTTTGCGGTATTTCAAAACTTGATTTGGATCATACAGCTGTGCTTGGTCGCACAATATCCAAGATTGCATGGCATAAATCTGGCATAATGAAGGTGATCACAAAACAATATCTTATGTATGCAATATAATTGAAATACCTTTGATATTAATTTTTGGTTTAAAAAGCGTATTTAAAAAAGAGAAAGTTCCCCAATTTTTTATAGGGGCAAACATTTTTCACCGGTAGTGGGGTAAGTTACCCCCTTCTCCTCAAAATTATCCTTCCTCTTCCCTCAAAATTTAATGTCAAAAAAGTAGACATGCAAACTGCATGTCTAATTTTTAAAGAGTCATTTCACATTGTTACAAAAAAAATTAACTCAATGAAGTCTAGTGCCACCTCCTGTAGAGTTTCTATAATACTCTTTAGAGAAATTTAGGTTAAACATGATAAAGTACTGTTTTTATAGATTTGCATTGGCTTTCAAAAGCAAATTCATTTCCCCTAGTTTTTGAACTAGGAGAATATTTAAAGAGTTTTTATCACAAAAGAAAAGTGATTTAGTTGCATACCTGAAATCTAATGAATTTGTTACACAAATGGCCTACTTTGGTGATTTATTTTCTGCACTAAATGTTGTAAACAAGTTATTATTATTTCAATGACCTAATACCACTATATTTCAAGTTACAGCAAAACTAAAGTAAATTCAAGAAAAACTAAAGCTTATGCACAAGGATGCTTAATCAAGAGAAAGTGCTCCACTTTAAGAGATTGGATGTATTTCTAAATAAAAACAACATGGAGTGAAATTTTATTCCAGAAATGGAATGGTTTGACAAAATTGGAATGATTTGACTTTGATATGATTTCATTTAAAGTTTTACTGGTTGCTGATGAATCAATAGCTTTGATATCTGATAATAATTTTGAAATTAATCAGAAGATTATCTGATAATTTGCAGTCAGATATGATGATAAAAAATCATTTCAAAAAGACAATGCTCCTGATCAACAACTTAATATTAAAGACTTTGTGTGCAAGAAGCAAGTTCATAAGTTACATTATTTGTTTTAAATTTCAATTGAAAAGAGTTTTTTTAAACATGAAATACGTTTTTTTTTCATTTCTACTACTACTATATTTTTTAACTTACAACTACAATTGCTGTGCAAGAAGGTGGAGAGATTGAAAGGGGTGGTAATGACATTAATATTCCAAACAAAGTAAAAAGGGGAAGTGAACAAAAAATTTTAGGAACCAATGGTTTAAAATGAACATTTAGTATTATTGATTTTAACTTTATCTAACACTAGTTTTAATGTTTTTTTTTTTTAATTATATAGTTTCTATGTAATTTTAATTTCAAATATTTATATTAGATTGATAAAAAAATGTTAATGAAATAAAAAAATTATTTTGCCTGAAAAAAAAATTTATTATGAGGAGTAAGTTTTTTGATTCATCAAATTTTTTGAGAAAACTTCTTTTTGAGAAATTCTTCTTCAGTTAGATACCATTCTTAGCAATGTAACATCAAAGTATATTGACTTCATTCTGCATGATTTTAATAAGTTGTTCTCAATATTTTTAAGTAGTATTATTTAAGTTGGAGTTTGGTAGTTTAAATTTACTACCATACACAAATAATTATTTTTAATTTTTTCAGATATAAATTGTATTTAATAATCTTAATTTTTGCACATATAAATTGTATTTTGTATATTCATAGTCAGGTAGGCCAACTCTAACCATTCAGCAAGTAGAAGATGCAAAAATAATGTTGTTCAACAGAGCTGCTGAGCTTAAGGTTTTTAAAGTTGATTTTTTTTTTTTAAATTTTCAAACTCAATAGTTTACAAGTAACATGTATGTTAAATATTGAGTATATATATATATATATATATATATATATATATATATATATATATATATATATATATATATATATATATATATATATATATATATACATACACTTATATATATATGTGTATATATATATATATATATATATATATATATATATATATATATATATATATATATATATATATATATATATATATATTATATATATATATATATATATATATATATATATATATATATATATATATATATATGTATATACTTCCCAATTTTAACCAATGCCTCATGCAAAGTCATTCTTCAATTGATCAAACAAAAAATATTTTTTTTTTAGTCCTAGTAAGATGCTTTTTTTTTCATATATGCTTTTTAACAATTGAATGTTCTGAATACAGTTTTCCTACATTATAGTTACATTGTGTTCATGTTTAATCCAATTTAAAAGTTAATTGCAATTCACCTACTTACAAAGCTAGAAACAAATTTTTAGACAAGTTTGTCTAAGTTTAGTTTTTTTAGTTTTTTTTTACAATTTTTACATTTATATAAAATTCATAAACATAATTAAGACAATCGAGAACAGTTTAAAAATTTAACTAAAATGCGCAATAAGCGTTTATACCACCCTTAGCCAACCATAATTTGTTCAAATCTTACAAGACGCCAAATAAATAATATTGAAAAAAAGCTCCTAGAATTGTATAGTTTGTTTGATTACTTTACATTGAGACTCAGCAGTGAGATTTGTCACAATTACGAGGACATAAATCCTAGCTTTAAGAAGATCTAGCAAAATCTTCATGAAGATCTAGTGAATTTACTATTTCAATATTTTATTTAAAAGTCAAAGTGCTTAGTAAGAATAAAGCCATTGCAATAAAATCATCTCAAACTCGCTTTTGTTATTTTTGTTAAGTTCAGTCAAAATATCAAAAGGTACTATCAAAATATAATAATTTAAATTTCTTGCAAGACTATCTGGGGGAGGAGCCCCGTAGCCGACTAAGTCCATTTAGACAGGTTATTTGTGAGCTCCTGTACCCATTTATATGTATATATACGCATATATATATATTTTTCTACTTATTGTTTTTTTGTTTTAATTTCTATTTTATTTTATTTCTGTTTTTTGTTTGTTTTTTTGTTGTTTTTTTTCAAACGTCTTTTATTTTATCATAAAGCATGTACACAATATAAATGTGAAAGAATAAGTACATTATTTTTTTCAGTGGTTGTAATAATATGTTTCAAAAAAATGTTTTAGTTTTCCCATTAAACTTAAAATAAGTTTTAAAAATGACAAAAAGAAAAGAATGTTAGAGAGAATTATGCACATTTGAAAAATCTGAAGCTACAATTCAATAGCAAAAAAGTTGCAGGTATATTCGCTGATAGTCATGTTATTCAACATTTTTCTCAATAAATTGATGAAGAAAGGGTGGTTGTCAAGATATAAAAGTGGATAGAGAGCTGGGTCGAAAACAGTTTCAAGATTAACCTAAGCCTTTCACTAAGGAATGCGCAAAAAGATACAAATTTTCTCTTGGTTTTTTCTTATAAAATTTAAAATAAACATGGTCTTCATATTTTCAAATCACAAAAAATATCCAACCACTCTGCAACTCAAAAAAAAAGAACCCGCTGCAGAATGTTGCAAGACAATTTTATTTATAAAAGTTTCTGTATTATTAAAGATGATGAAACTTATATCAAGTAAATTCATCAGCAATTTCCTAGTACTGTTTATTGTTAAATATAGAGAAAAAGCAGATAAGAAATTTAAATACATAAAACATGATAAGTTTGCTAAAATAGTCTTGATTTGACTACGTTAAAGTTAAGTTAACTTAAGTTGCAATAGTTTAGTTTTCATAAACTAATTAAAATCAACACATATAACTTTATGGACAGCACACACCAAAACAAATACTGTTATTAAATAAATGAATAGTTAAAAACAGCAAAATACAAAAAAAAATAATATAGATGATTTGGCAAACTATTTTCAGGTGTGACTAAAAACAATCAACCTATATTTCACACTTTCTGGTAAAATATAGGTAAAAAAGTGTTAACAAAAACGTCTTTGACTTTCTCATTAAATCACATACACATAGACATGTGCTCTGACCTGATTTATCATCAAGTCATTATAGTGGCTATGGAATGAAACAAAATGTGGTAAAAGTTGTGCCAAAAACAATAAATCCTCCAAACTGCCCAGAATTGAGAGTTACTAAAAAGTATTGGGCAATAATTAAATGAAAAAAATTATGCAGAAATGTTAAAGATTTTAAAATGTTGTTTAAAAAAGCATCAAATAGTTTTGATTGTTGTTCTGTGCACAAGCTTATGGGTACCATCTAAGAAAAAGTTATTTTTATTGAAATACTTTATGTTTATTTTTAATGTATTAAAATTATTACTTAGTTACTAAGTTCTTAATAAAAATTGATGAGTACCTCTTTTTTAGTATTTTTTTCTACTTTCACATTTGTTTCATGTATATGCTTTATTTCTATTTATTTCATTTATAAAAAAAATTTTATGTAAAACTTTATACTTTTTTAACAAAAAAATAAATATTCAAGTTAAAATTATTTATTATTTTTAGGTGCCTCTATTCTTGGTACCACCTTTAGATAGATTTTCAAATTCTATTCCAAGTAATGCATTTAAATTGTTTTTCATTGTTTTCAAATTTTATGTTTAATAACTCTATAATTTTTAAATGTAATCTATTGATTCTCAGTCTGAAATGAAATTTAAAATTTTTATTTATTTTCCTCTTTATCATTTTTATACTTTATTTGACATAAATGTTAAATAGACTAAAGTATGATTTTTAAAGTTGTCCTTTTTTAAATTTCTTATTTCAGATGGGAGAAAGATGTAAAGTTTTTATTTCCAATATTTTACCACACATTATTTGTACTTGATAGATTTTTAAGGTTTTTTAATGCCCTTAATTCCCTACCCTTAATAAAGGATTTTAATGTACATAATTCCCTATTTATTTTATAACCAATTCTTTTCTATTTATTTTATGACCAACAGATTTTCTGCACTCAATACTATGTCAAGAATACTTTATATGTCACCTTGTATGCCATCTTCTTTACCACTTTATTTTTTGTGAACCATTTGCTAATGAATCATACAACCAATATTGTTTGCTTGTACTCCTTTCCTCAACACTCCAAAAAGGCCTCTTTCTGTTATTCTCTGTTTGCTTGTTATTAACTTTACAATGTGTAATTGTAAAATTGTTTTACTTATTTTTATTCTGAGTCTTTTTAATTCAATCTTTCTGACACTGAACTCCTAATATTATTTCTTCTTCTGTTACTGCAATCATAAATCATTTGCATAGAATAGCTTTCATAATAAACCAACACTGAACTCCTTAGCAAGAGCTTATATGACGATAAAAAAAAGTAGCAACATTCCGTAACGGTAACAAAAATAGCAACATTCCGTAACGATAACAAAAATAGCAACATTTTAGCAATTGCAAATTTATTATTTTATA